AAAAAAAAAAATAAAAAAATAAAAATGCCCCCAAAGATCACGTGTACGCTTGCCATATTTGTAGAGTATGGTATAATGGCTCATGTACCATGAGGGCTAAGTCAATGAAAATGTTTGAAATGCATTATTCAATGATCCACTTATTAATAACATTGTGTATAACCATATCAACTAGGGTATCTAAAAGACAGTAATGTTGCGGCACATCCTGTTGATGGTGACATATTGTACGCAGTGATTCATCTACCTGCAAGTTCCAAGACCTACATTAACCTTTCTTTCTTAATGTAGCGTCAAATCGTGGGGAATTTGTCCTTGTATGCACGATGCATCAATGGCGAGGTGTGACAAGGGATCGTGACAAAAAAGCACATAGTGATCTGAACTATGTTTGGACATAAAACGATACACATTACTGAACCTCCCCTTTTCCAGATTGCGAAAATCGAAAGATGTAGAAATTGTAGGAGCAGAAATCTAACTTATAAATTCTGTATTGGTACGCATTAAATGCCTCTAGAACTGACTGTGCCTCTAGGACTGACTGTGTCGAGGACGCGTTCATCGCGATGCGTGAAAATGCGAAAGTTTTAACTTACATGATTCATGCTTGGATGAAAAGAAGTAAATCGCAGCGTATATGAAATTAACGTGTTCTACGGTTTTTGTTTGTTGTAATTATTCTACAAGCCTTAGTAACGACGATTCCTCTTCATTTAAGAATTCTACCACGGAGGCGAGACGACTGCTAAGACCATGAAATGACATGCCAAGTTTAAAATGAAGATGTCACAATTAATCATCCAAATTTACAAACTTTCACAAGAGCAAGAGTTGTGAAAGTCAAGCACGATCTCCACACCGTTTTTACAGGTAAATCAGAGCAAAACATAACTACTATTAAACCTTTCACACTGGAATCCGCGTGAAAAGACGGTGTGACATCCTCGTGTTGTTCGTGGCGCAATGTACTCTGGTAAAAAGTGGCGCAGTGCACTCTGGTTAAATGCAATGCATTCTGGTAAAAAGTGATGAATTCGAGAATTGGTACCCCCTTTCATCTATTCTTCTTAAATCCTGATTATGTTGCTGCTCGCTCGCTACGCTCGCTCCGCAGCAATAATTTCTTGATGTTACAAGCAACTCAACCAGGACCACAAAGTTTAGCCATTCTTTCAAAAGTTGTTTTATTTTTCCTAAACTTTATAAATTATTACACAAGTACCGTGACATTGAACAAAAGTTCCAAGTAAATCTGGTTGTCTCTAAATTGACTTGCAAAAAGACCTAAATAAATAAAATCTAAGAGCAAAACAAGAGCGTACTGTGTTCTTTAAACTACTTTAAATTCAAACCCAACGTTGTCTGGTTCTGTTTGCTAGTTGAAGAAGTTTAGGAGTTTGTATCTTCAGGATCTCTGTGGTCCTTGAGGTCAAGTGGTGTAGATAATTTAGAGACAAAAATTAAAACTGAGAAAAAATAGTTTCTACATGTAGCTCTAGCTAAGATTAAAAACAATCAATGCATGTTACAAAAAAACAAATAAATAAAATAATATTTCAAAGTTGTAAATTAGTAGCACTTGATTTTCTAATATTTGTATTTTTGGAATTCAAGTTATGTGCCAGGATGTACATTAGTCTAATGAAGGTAGCATCACATGTTAACTACTTTTATTCAGTTCACATTACGTTATTTTAGAGTGAGAGTTCTTTCAAAACTGCACGGTATCAATTTGAACCTAACCACAAAACTGTTTGCAAAGAGGATTCTCCAAAACCAAACAAAAACCAGAGACTTTTAAGGGTCTATGGAAAGCACACTAGTACAAATAGAAAACAAACAGCAACCATAAAGCACCGTTGGAATCAAACTACTGGAGTCTGTACCTTCTACAGACTCTGGTCATGGCCAGACCTTTCTGGGTTGATTGGTCTGCAAGTCAGACATGGCCAGCTTTAAAATTCATTAACAAGCATTTCATGCAGATGAAAGAGCTACTAAAGACCTAAACGACAAGAATTCTTCACAAACAACTTTTCATCAAAACCATTGTCAACAACATCACACCATGCAACCCACAGCATTGCCAGTATGGCAAATCAGATAATTGTGGTAGGAAAGACACTACTTGTACAGAAAACTTCAGTGAGAAATTAAAGAGAGTTTACTCTTGGCTTTTTTTTAACTTATTACATACAGCCGCCAAACCATTACATTTGAGGATATACCATACCTACAACTTAATGCCAGACCAAAAGGTGACACAGTTTGAAGCCCAGCCAATTTTGGATTAAAAAAAAAAAACTTAAGTGATCAATAGAGATATACTAAAGAGGGGTAATAGAGCATTATAAGAGTCTTTTCATATGACATTCTGTGTAAATACAGGAGACTGAACACTATTGAGACTGACACTGTACTCCTGATCGCGGATGACCAAAGTCCTCATCATCATCATAAGCATTGCGCTAAAATGACAAACAAAAACACAAAAAAAACAAACACAAAACAGTTAAATCCTAACAATCATGTAACCCCCTCCTGCACCCCCAAAAAATATTTTTCAGAAGCTTGTTTTGGGTTTCATATGTACTAATATTGACTAGGAAGCACATACATAGCTGTAGCATAACCAGTTGAGACAGAATATATTTTGTGGACAAAAAGTTGATGAACCTTTGGCTTAAAGTAGAAGAACGTTCCCAGATTTAATGCTTCCCACTTAAGGTTAGACTATATTCACTACTAGGTGTTTGGTGCAGGGGTAAACAGTAAATTGTTAAGGAAGAGTTATAAGGCATCTGATTGCAGGTTATGTGTAAACCAGATACACATGTTTGTGTGATGAATCAACCACTCTCTAAATATGGGAGGCAGGCAATGCAAATGTTTCTGCCCTTTAAGTGAGCTATGAAAATTTTAACAACATTTGATAATTACTTGTCTCAAAGAGCTTTGTTCCAGAAAGCGAACTAAATGTAAATGTACTAGCATTATAACTAAACCAGCTTCTGTTTTAATCTACAACACTGCCTGTTTCTACACTGTACATGCACCTACAATCTTAAATGCAGAAAGATCCAAATGCGATTCAGTTCTTACCATGTGTTGCCTGCGACTCCTTTCTTGTTCATCGCGGTCAATTTTTACAAGGTCCACTTCTTCACCTTCTTCAGGAAGGATGACTTCTTCTCTGGGAGGCAGCAGCTGCTCCAGTTGAGGAATATTAGATGGTGAAATGAAGCTATCTGGAGGAAAGTTGATCTGGTACACATAAAAACCATTAAATGTTATTAGTTGATCAAAACCAAAAGACTCATGCTCTGATTGACAGCTGGTCACATAATCAAATTGTACTAATTACCAGATTTTTGTTTCCATGCAATCCTTTCAAAATACTGTACAGCTACATGTAAGCTTTGACCCTTACAGAACACAGCGTACAGTGTATGCCATTGCATTGAAGCCAGAGCATTACGAATCTGCTACTTAGGTTAACGATAACTTTTGTTTCAAGCTATTCAAAGGGTCGATGAGCACAAACCCCTTGATAAACCCCTACCTAGTCAGTGGATTATATTGTATGCTGTTGGTTTGGTTAATCCATAACACAGGTACATGTAGGTAGATTATTTTTTAGAGAAGGGCCTGGCACCAGCAGAGGAGCACAACCATTGGAAGCCATGACTCTCAATCTAAAATCATCTCACCATCAAAAAGATGCAGCAAAAAGATTGACTGCCATAAATGATATGCATGAAATGGGACTTTTAATTTGTAATGGAACTTTTGACTTGATCTGGGCATATTGTTTTGCCAAAAGAACCGAATTCTCACTGTCTTGTAATTGCCTTCTTACAGAAACAAGATACAATAACTGTGTACATGTAGCTTTAGCAATAAAAAACGTGAACATTCCTAAACATTCCTTGCAATCTACATGACTTTTATATATCAGTTACTGTTATACTGTTTTCATAATGCCTTCTAGGTAAAATTTATGATATACATATGCTCTCACGCTTACCGAGAATGTTATGATGAGTTGTCCTTTCTCGTAAGGATTTTTGTATCTAGGCATTCCTTCTTCTCTCACACATTTCATTTCACCTGCAGATAATAATAATACCTGTATATTAGCATGATTAAGGGACATTCCTGTAACTTAGTGATAAATAATTTTCTCAAGGCATAATAGAAGAAACTTACCAGGTCTAATGATTTCTCCAGGGTGAGATGTAATGACCAGTTGCCTTTTGTCTAACATTTCAATCGTTTTTTGGAAACCACAAAGCGCTTCTGTCAGTTCAATTTCCTGCAAAGGGGAAAAAGTGATCATTGTAATGTGTTGTTCCAGAAAATATCCATACCCCTCCCACAGAAGGTTTTTTAGCTTGAACTCCCTCCCCCACCCCTCTGGAAATTCCATTTTAGTGCCATACTTTCCTTTAAAAAATTGGGCTTTTGAAACCCCCCTCCTCTTTGGAATTTCCGTTAACCTTCCTTGAGGTGGGTATGGATATTTTCTGGAACTACACATTAATGATGACCTGTCAGATGCAACATAATTTGACACCAGTAATTCTATCTGTAAACTGTGATAACTCTTCTTAAATACATCAAATGACTGTCCTGTCTAATTTCCAGCTGATACATGAACTGACTGGACTGACACCCATGGACTGACACTAAGCCATTGTGGCAGCCATACGCACCAATTAAACATGTACTACACTTCCACATTTGAACCCTTTTCCTAAGTGTACATTTTTTCTGGCCCAAAGGATGCCCACTTATGGGAGGTCTGACTGAAACACATGTACTTACATGTACATCTGTATGTAAAAGTTTCAGTCAGGGCAACTGAAATTCCACAATGCAAAACCACAATCATCGATGAAAAGGGAAGAAGGTAAAGTGAAGAGAAAATCTTTATCATTGAATAAATTAGTTTCTTGATTATGCACCAGGTGTCAAAGGTGGAGTACAGTGGTAAATCTGCCCCCACCCCCCACCCACCCACTAAGCATTGCCTGTATTCAAGATATACCCTCACTTAACCCTTTACCTCCTAAGGCAAATGGCAGTTTTTCCCAAATCGGCGAATAAAGACAATCTGCCTGTGTACAATATGCCATTTGAAAGCCACTAATCAGCTTATTTAAGAATTGACATCAGCAGCTATGAAGGAGGTAGACATTTTTGAGAGAAATTGCTTTAAAATAGGAAAATGAACGACTTCAAAAATGTATCAATCTTCTACTATATTAGGTATACCCCTATACTATAGCTTATTTAGCAGCTCTTAGTGCATAGCTTGATATGAAACAAGTCTTGCATTCCATTTGCATCCTGAAGAAGGAACTAAAAACTTCTGAGGGTGGTCAACCATGTCTTGAATGGGAGGGGGTCAAAATTTTATGACTTCGATGAGCAGATCTTTTCAAGACAATTTTCATGGCAAAAATTCATAGAAATCTATCAAATATTCACAAAGTTATGACCTTGTGTGCCAATTTGCACTCTTAGGGGGTAAAGGGTTAAAAATAAGCAAAACAATTAAAAAGGCTGTCATACATTATAATGATTATACATTATACATGTAATGATTACAGTGTATATATAATACATTATAATGAATAAAATCTCTTTCTTAACAAACTGATGGCATTTACCAGACTGAGTGAAAATAATGTGGGTGCACCAAGCCACATTTGAAATCAATGTAGGGGACGATTAATCAAGAAAATACAGTACAATAAATGTAACATCAGAACTAATTATTTACATACCATATTTGTGTGCAAATCTAAATCACTTCGCCTGTAGACTGGGTGTTGCTTTTCATCAAGGATGATAATGATATCACCTGGCTCAATACCAGGTTCTTGGTCTCCTTCACTAGTAAATGTGATCTTCTGGCCATCTTTCATACCTTTATCAATGTAAACTTCCAGGATTTTACGTTCTTTGACTGTTTTCCTTCCCTGGCAGGTCTTACAGCGATCCTTTTCTAAAACAAACAAACAAAAAATATGTTGATGAAATCAGTACAGTACATGTACCTCCAAGAAGGTTAGATCCTCAAGTTTCCAAGGCATTTTTCTACTCACTGAGAATCTGAGGGGCTCGTGAGACTGGGGAGGCGAGAATGGACCCCTGTTTGCTCATAAAAAGGGGTCGCCCAGAGGGTCAGGTGTTTTATTCTGAAGAAAGGGGGATCTAGAGCCCTTGTGGTCATATAATATGTTTGAGGATAAGGTGGGTACCTAGACCTTGGGCACCCTTTAAAGATCCACCATTGTTCCATACTCAGAAGTTACAGTGTATGTAATTACTATGTAGTCCTCAACATGTTTCTCTTACAACATGAAGATTTCAGGAACACAACTCTGAGGCACATGATCTTCACTCTTAATTGAGTTGCACTCGTATTGTCTCCAAGTTGCCTTCACACAAGAAGTCATGGTGGCTGGAAATACCTGATATTCTTTCTCCATTGCCACCACAATCTCTGCATTGCGTTTGAATTTGTTGCACCATCCCTGGAGCAATTTGATTGATCCTGATATACATCCCACTGCCATGACATGTATTGCAAGTTACCACTGAGTCCTGCAAACAGCAAACAGTCAACTTCAGATACCATCCAAGAATGAATTGTATTCCGAGCTACATGTATCATGAAGGGAAGCAGCCAAAATTGTCTGTATTCATGCATTTTGAGCCATTTCATTGTTGCATGCACCATGCATTCACATGAAAAATACACACAACTTGGCTGTATCATCTTGGATTAAAAAACAGAACTTACACTGTACGAAACTGAATGTTTTGCCAAGTGTGGGTGATGTTTAGTACACCATCATGATACTTTTGGGTAAAAATTCAGCTTGGTTTCTTCTTAGAGTTGTTTATTTCAGTTACCTGTTGACCATAAAAGCTCAATTCTATTTCATTTTTATAATTTGCTGGAGAGCCATGTCAGTATGCACAGTACACAATGTAAGATGCAATGGTAAACAGGGTCCAAAATTAACTTTTTTAGGCAGGCACCAACTGGCGACTGAAATTTTTCTTTCAGTTGCCATATGGAAAAATGTGGTCGGCAAAAAGCATCAGCAAAGTTTTTTCCTTCGCAGTGAAACACAAACCAAAATTTTTGGTTGCCACGGGCTTGCCGGCAAAACATTTGCAATCGATGTAATCAGGAATCAAACCAGTGCTGAAATCATTTTTTGACCACTTTGACAGATCTACATTTTCACCTTTTGATGCCCAAAGAATATCTAAATCCTCAACTAATTTCATCGGGGATGTTCAGTCTCCACTTTGAAATAAATTATGGAAAGAGTTCAGAACATCTTTGGGCACCACATTGTAATATTACGAAGGACACAAACGGAGTGAAAACGAAATACACTTTACTCGAACCCGACACGATTACAACTAAACTTCAAGCTATAACAGAATACTAAATAAACTAAAGCACCCTAGAGGTCCCTAGAGGCATGTGCTAATGCATATTATAACACACATCACGTGAATAAATAAAGAACACATGTGGCCTCTAGCGCCCGCAATACATGTATGTATGTTCTGGGAAACCGCTGAAAAAACATGGCGGCGAGCTTCGCACTGATGGTAGCTGTGAAACATTGTAGTAGATTTATAATAACAGGAAAGTCAGTTTTATACTTCAAAATTAGCGGAAAGGTAAAAAGTAAGTGACTAATTGGTTGTCAGCTTTGAATTTTATTTTGATTGATTTGGTTGAAAATCAAAGTTATTGTTTGTATAATTATCGTGGCGTGAACTAGTTAATCGCCCGCTGGCGACCAGTTGTGAAATTCTGGTCGCCAGTGCAAAATTTTTAGTTGCATTGACGACCAGGAAAGCGCAATTTTGGACCCTGGTAAAGTGCCTAAATCATATGATTATAATAATTTGTTTCAGCTCCATCAACTAACAGTTAATGTGACAAGCTTTGCAGATTTCATTGTTCAGCAAAACAAAATATTTTTTTTGTTTCTTGTGCAACAAAAGATCTCCAAAAGATGCCACAGGAAAACTGAGGTTTTTCAACATTATTTCTTTTAACATTATTTCCATTAAACTGAAAACCACATGCAAAAATTCAGGCACTTTTGTGGAAAAAAATTCACACAAAAGCATCACTTAGAATCATCATAACCAACTTACAGCTGTAATACAGCGTACACACCTTCTTCCCTCCTCGTCCTTCGCATTTAGAACAAACAACATTTTTTTGCAAGGCCAGCTGCCTTGTTGTACCATTGTACATGTCCTCCAGAGAAACCTAACAAATGAAATAAAGCATTATACATGATGAATAAATCTCACTGACTTATTCACATCTGTATATACTGAAGCAAATAACAGAGGTGTTGGCAAGTTTATTGTTAAAGTCAAAGTTGCCCTCACTGAGCTAAGTACTGTAAATTGTATCAGGTTCTGTAATGGTACCAGTTGTGACATGGTCAAAATGTCCTGACAAACAGCACTTTTGCCACAAACAGTCAGTTGTTTGTGATACTCGCTGGATGTTTTCAATAACTCAAAATTACTGGGTCCATCTGGTTCCCCTCTTTATTCCTGTTATATAATCCACTCGAACATGTCCTTACAGTAATAACAAAACAATTTACAGGATTATTTTCAACTACCCCAGGGCTGGAAATAACAGTCAGTCATCGGACATTGTCCGACCAAATTTTGAATATGTCACATTTTGATCGGACATGATGTCCGAGCATTTAACCAACACCTATTGTCCATCCATAAAATTTGGTTATATAAATTGTTAAAAAGGCTTGAAGTTGCGACCGGTATGGTCGCCAATGCGGCTAAAATTTCATCTTTGGCGACCAAAAATTCTGGTTTAGTCGACAACCGAAAATATGTCTGCGTTCACAGGCTACCATAAATGGCGACTACGTTTCTCTGTGTTGACAATAACGGTTATTTTCTCAGTCATTATGTCCTTCCAGAAATACATAGTGAAAGATCTTTGCTTCTGTATCATTCAACATAAGAAAAGAAAGCAATGTATCCTTTTGCTTTGCTGTAAAGGATTCCCTCACATCGGAAAACTTGCAAATGGCTGATTGTGTTTGAAATCGCCCTATAATGCATTGCAAACCCTTGAGCATTGAGAAATGTATGCCTACTGATTGTGTCTCTTGAAATGCATGAATCCTTCACAGACATTATATTAGCTATGTACACAAAATTAGCGGCCAAAATAGTCTTGGAAATTTTTGTTTTNCGCATCAGTAAGGGGAGAAATGGAGGCCTCAGGTGGACATGGCAACCTAATCTTCCAGTGAAATTATAAAGTCTGTGCTTGTGATTGGTCACTGAGGTTCCGGCTGGGGCTGAATTCTCGGTAAATTCAGACTAAAAATAGATCAGTCTGTGAAAACACCGGGACAGGAATAATTGAGGTAGTTGCACACTCCTGGTGATGGGCTCCTGCATAGAAAACTAGGTTTGCGTGAAGAACATATAATCAGGAGATAACCAGGAGAGATTGGTGCAGTCATCTAGTAGATAAAGTCATCTAGTTAATCATAAGTGATAAATAAATCAAATTTAAATACAGTTTTGAATGATTTGTATTGAAAATCTTTACAGTATGCTAATAAATTTTCTTATGCTAATTAATTGTGCTAATCAATTATGTAAATTAATGTCCAGTCAAACTGATACGATGTCCGACCAAAATGAAGATTTGAAAGGACACATGTCCTGTTAAAGAAGCAAAATTATTTCCAGCACTGCTACCCTTAGATGAATTTAATTACATGGTTTGTAAGCTCATTTCAAGTCTCAGATCTGTTGGTTAGTACCCTTTCCAGTCAATGACCAGTACATACATGTAGCTATTTACTCTTCTAAATGAAGAGAGGCCCTGAGAGAATTAAGCCTTTCCCCATGAAAAACACAGCTCTAGTCTAATCTGTAGTGCCCACTGTAATCCAGAGTCCTAAGCATTAACCCCTAAACTATACCAACCACTCTGCAGAACTATAAAGAATGGCTACATCATGCAGCTGTTTCCCAAAATAAACCTTGCTACTTAAGAATTCTCCCACAGAATGAAATGTCAGTGATTTGTTTTCTAAACTTTATCAACACTTAGAGAGTACATTTTAATAACAAGCAACACATGCACATTTTACAGACTCTGAAACCAAGCCCTAGGATTTCAAATTTCATCAGTAACACTTTTTTGGTTCTGTGTCTAGAGATCACGGAAAACAATCAGTAAGGGATACTTTTTGCATCAAAATTTTACACTTTATTTGGACACAAATAAAAGAAAATGAAAATAGCGTTGAGAATAGAGAAGGAAATGAAATGAATACAAAGTATCTTAGCTAGTTAGTTTATAAATAATGCAAAATCCTCCGCATTGGTCTCGTTTAATTATTGTTAATTTTACAGAGAGAACTTTTGTACTCTTCTACTTCTGCTTTACGATGGATGCTGACCACGTAAACTCATTGCTGGAAAGAAAACCAATAATATTGTAGCTGGTTCAGCCTTTATCAGCCGTTTGTCCACCATCTTAAATCCGCTTCAGACTGCGTTGCACATACTGTGTGATGCACTTTGGGACAGATACACGAATGCAGATGAATGAAGTGAAAAAACAAGGAGTGCTTATCAAAGGAACTGCACACTCTATCAAACAAAGTTTGACCTTCAAGGCTGACGATGTCCGTAGCAAATGGTTTTTTGGTTCTGTTATTTCTCAATAACGGTAACGACAGGGTACCGGAAACGATTGTTACTGTAAAATCCTAGGGCTCATAAAACTCATATAAATGTGTAAATTAGAAGAGAACATGTACCTTGAGCTGGTGAATCATGTCCTTCCCTTTTCTTTCACCGTGACTACTTCTGTGTCGACCATGACCTGTTCCAAAGAACATGTCAAAAATATCCATAGGTGAATGAAATCCACCCATGTCCCCGCCACTGTTCAGCGCTTCCTCTCCTCCTTCATCATAAATTTTCCTTTTCTTCTCATCTGACAGGACTTCATAAGCATGAGAAATCTGCTTGAACTGTAAATCAAAGACTTATATTTACTTACAGCTGTGATGGTATAATTCTAATAACAAGAACTTATCATGATGACAAAATATTCCAGGAGCATGCATTGGACATGAGATGGTACATAACCAACAAGGCATGTAGCACCAAGTTGCCTAAAATCATCTCATATCCAACAAGTGCGAGTGGAATAATTGTTTTATTAAAAGCACCCCCAAAACTCACGCAAACGCTTTCCATATTAATTTTTGTAGAGCATGGTATAATGGCTCATATCCCCTGATGGTTAAGCCAGTGAAAACTATTGAACTGCATTATGCAATGATCCAGTTTTAAATAATAGCATATATTTTGACAAAATTCAATCAGAGAGGACAGCAGAAATTGGGCATCTATACCTCTATGCATCACATAAATGCACTCTTACTTATAAGTTTAAATTAGTTCTTTCTGAACTCCCATGAAATTTAACTGAAAATTTTGTTATTGATATGGTCAGTAGTAGCTGTTTATCAAATCCGACTGTAAGTTATGATTTATCAAACTCGTAAACAGTAAACAAAATGTGGATAACACTATCTGGTGGAGTAATCGCTATCCAGTTTGTAAGTGTTTAACAAATATCTTAACTGGGGAGTGATTTATATCCAGAGAATAGTGAGAATACATGTATCCATCCTTGAACTACCACAGACAAGGAGCAATTTGTTATGCTAGTTATTTTTAATCCAAATCCACCCTGTATGATTTTTGTCCACTTTCTCAACAAGTGTTAATTCATCCAATCCAGTGAGTGTCACATGTACAACAATTGCAGTGCCAGTGTCAACAAAAAATGTTACAGAAAAGCTAAGGTAAGCGATCACTGCACTACAGTTTATTACTACCCATTTCTGTAATAAGTTTAATAACGGTTCAATGTCCATAAAACACATGTAAAACACACACACATGCCGTTCGAAATTAAGACTAAATTACAAATTCGATTACATAAGAATGTCTTGGGTAATTTTCTTGTAACTTATGTTGATAGCATTACGATTAACGTAAAGATTATGGCTTTCCTTCTCAAGAAGATAAAGAAACGGATTTAACGCCGATTTCAGTGTATTTGTAGACCTCAATAACCAAGGTCTTCACAGTCTGTAGCCCAGATTAGAGAGTCTTATTTATTGAACTATATTGAACGTCGTGTGGCTGTCTGGTTTTTAAAAACAAAGTCCTCGTTTTATTTTAATTGACCCAATCTCATTCTCGATAAATTCGAAGTAAGCAATACAGAGTAAGCTACACAGCCAGCCTTTTTGTGCCATCATATAACTTAAGCTTAAAAATCTTGAAGATGATAATGAAAGACACCGCACTCAGGGAACGCCGAAAACGCAACTTGACTAGGTTTACATGTGTACCTTGTCACCGGCATCAGGATTTTTGTCTGGGTGATATTTCAGCGCGAGCTTACGATAAGACTTCTTTATTTCACTTGGAGTAGCACTTGGAGGAACACCGAGAAGATCTGTAGAAAGAACGCGGAATGACATTTATAAAACGATCATGCGGCTCGATCGTTGTCATGTAGGAAAGTGAAATACACCCGGCGAACAAACAATCAGCTCGTACAACGAAAAACCTTGATTGAAATAAAGCGCAAGCAGGCCAAAGAAAAGTAAATTCAAAGCCTTACCGTAAAATGTCGTCTCCTTGACCATAACTAAAGGGTAAAGTCGCCTTTTTTTCAAGGAAATTGAACTCTTAACTCTGAAAATGTGCTACAATTCCGCTGACGCATGTGTGCCGTGAAGCTTTCCGCATTTATGTCGTAATATCGGTCCAGTACTTGCCGTTTGGGGTCATGCATTTTAAAAGCAGGGGACTGGAGCAAAGTGCGTCGAATCACACCTTATAGTCACACTAGCAAACACTTTCAAAATTAATCCAAAATTTAACTGAAAAATGGCTTTTGATTTTGATTTTGCTCATAAATGATAAAACTTTGTTTTGAGGATCAGACTTAATAATTATTTAGAAACCTCTCGACCCTTGTGCAAACGCGATCTTTGATGATTGTATACATTTCTTGGGAAAGTTCTCGAGTTGACTGACTCAGCATGACTCAGCTATATCAATATCTAAAAAGACTAAATAAGTAATTTGCTGAAAAATTAACAAGACGCTGAATGGTCTAGATTATCGAATTTGGAGTATGAAAACAGCAGGCTGTTTTCAGTTACAAGCGCAGAGGAAGAGGTAGATCAGTGACAAGAGGATTGATCGACGAGGAGCTGGGAAAGAGAGAACACGAAAGAGAGATCAAGAAATCTACGCTGTTGCTTGGCAAAGGTTTCCCATCAAGCCAAAGGAAATCAGTTAATTCATCGGATGAATTGGAAGGATGGGACAAGCACTCTAAGAGGTGGTTTAATTTTAAAAAAATCTTCAAAGGTGCCTATTTGTCTTAGTTCTACTGGTGGAGGTAGAAACCTCCAGTCTTTTAGAGATTTAGGGGAAAAGCTGTTATATAAATATAAACATTGAGTATCTCTCGAGATACTAGGATTTATGAGGGAAGAATGAGATCTCAGTTAGCATCGGGAGTACAGCACTGCCCTACTTAATAAGTTGAGTGAGTCGTAAAATACAGTTGAACCTTAAGTTAACTAATTACGGCCACCTCCCCACAACGACCACGGTTTTCTATTTCTTCCCAGTCGAGGGATTTGCTTTTGCTTTAACCACACCAACACTTAAAAAGTCTCTCAACTTCTCTCCTTATTTGAACCAAATAAATAATTGATCACTGAGGATGGCTGCCAAGTCTTATTAACCCATTAAGGTTATTTCGGGCAGCCATGTACTCCTTTTATTTTAACTTATTTTTGTTCATTTAATTTTTAGCGGAGTATAAATAAAGTTGTTGTTGTTGTTGTTGTTGTTGTTGTTGTTGTTGTTGTTAACTAACCTCCTCTCCTCAATGGCCATTAAAGTCAGTAAACTCAATCTGTCCTAGCTCCAGCCAGTGACGTTATCGTCGGTTTTGAACATAGTGTGGTAAGTGAGTTACTGTTCCTTTCTCTCTCATATAGTTACTTCTGACAAATCGAGCCGGTTGTATTTTCGGACACTTTTTCCGTCCAAAATTTTAAACCGTCTGAAAGTTTTTGCAAGTGATGTATTTTACGTTATCGATGACTGGATCAGTGTGGATAATTTTCATTAGCTTAGCCATCATGGTATATGAGACACTGATACCACTGATGCTCTACAAATATAGTCAAGCATGCATGTAATTTTTGCGTTTTCATTATTTTATTCAGTTTTCTATGTTTTAGGGGCATTTTTGATAAAACAGATATTCCACTCGCGCTCGTTGGGTATGTATATAGCCAAGTCGGCCCTACGCGCCTCTTTGGCTATCTACCATCTCATATCCAACGCGCACTCGTGGAATAATTATTAAGTATACCACGAGAAAGCGCGCATAACTAGGATCTATTCTTTGGTATATACTTGTTCATCATGATTTAAAACATTATTTATTTTTCTTCTTGAATCTCAGCCTTGAGTGCAGCCCTGGCAAATTATTAAAATTCTGCTAGCCTCGTAGGCCCTTTCACAAATATCCGTTTTTTTTGGGAGGATATTTACAAGTCCCCGAGATATTTAGAAAACATTAACTCAGATATTTAGAAATTTTAGGGATGTTTAGGAATATTCATAGCTTGTTTTGGCTGAACCCCGGCCTGTGTTTTCCTCGCTATTTTACTGAAGCAATACTCAGTTCTATACCAGAAACAATCCAGATCATCGATTTCCCCATTAAAAAATGTATTCCATATCAATAAAAGTGCCAAAGTAGCAATTTTACAAAATGACGGATGCTGGAAGCGCTTGAATTGAATCTTCCTCCCCAACTCTACTAATCTTACCACTGTTTACAAGAAATTTTTAAAGTACTTGCCTAAGTACGTAATCCAAAATCGGTTTAATTTAAAATAAAAAATATAGTTATTTAGACGGTTTCTCGAGATATTTAGAAATTGTTTTGTGATATTTAGAAATTATTTTGAGAAATTCCGAAAGATATCAAGCCGATTTTACGTGATATTTGTGTTACGTGTTATCATTCCGATTACACATAGCTTTCTGCCCAATCAGAAATCGCGAAGAATTCCGAGCTGTATTATACTGAGTAAACTCTTAAAAAGTTGACCTTTTGTCATCTGGCTCTTAGAATCTATCAAATTATGCGCTAGACATGGATTATGTGTCAAAGACGGATGATCCGTCTTAGTGTCAAAAGGAGACGGTATTCGGATAGTTCGACTGACTTTAACATATTATCCTTCACTTGTTCCCCGTCGTCTCTTGACTAAATGAGAGGAAGTCGTCAGCGACTGATGAGGTCCCGTCTACACTAGGTCGGAGAAATTGGAAAACGCAGCTTTATTGCTACGGTTAGCTTAGGCCTTTCGTTCACACTAAATTGTCACGAAAACGGGGCTTTTCGAAAACGCTCTTCAAACCGGAGGAATTTGAAAACGCCGGCTTTTCGTTTTTGTGTTGACGGGAAAGTACTTTGAAAACGGAGGTTTTTGAAAACGTTCACCTTAAGATAGTCTTGCGATTTCCCTGCCCGAGTTTTTTTTTTTAAACACAGATCCAAAATGACCGGTGATTACTGCGTTTTTAAATTCCTCCGGCGTAGTGTGGAAGGAAAACATTTGATGTGTTGTCAGAGGGAAATCTCAGTTTTCAAATTCTTCAGGCGCAGTGTGAGGGGCTTTCGAACATGACGGAAAAATTTTACTTAATAGTGACTCATGTTATGTGAATAATCAAAAGTGAGTTCATTACCATTGAAACGTTTCCAAAATAATATTTTTAACCCTTCCGAGGCTATATTTTAAAACGTAAATGCATATTGTTGTCAACTGACTAATGACCAATAATTCACTAACGTACAAGCATGAACTGCTTGTGGACATTGTGAGAACTGTTTTGTCAGTTCTGTTGACATCTATTCCCCCCGTTGCGTTTTTGTTAAGTTTGGCCTTATAACTCGATTTTCAACTGAGTGTCGAAAGTAATCAATTACTTTGGTTTCGGTTTTGGTTTTACTACGGTTTGGGATTGGCTGAGAAGTCTAATCGGTATGTAATTGGTTTGGTTTTGGTTTTACCACACTCAATTGAAAACCGCTCTAAAGTAACATTATCAAGAAGTAAATTGTGTGATACCCCAAAACGCTACGTTAAAGTCATTTTAAATAGGACATTTTCGCCAAATCCCGGAATTTAAGTGTCCCGAAAAACGCGCACCTGGAAATTGCGAAACGAACGTACCCAGAAAATTTTGTGTAATAAGGTCAGCGGTTCGAGGGGATTCCTACCATCAAGACAACCTCGTTCCCACTGGGAACGAGGCTGCCACCAAGCCCGAACCACCAACTCCATGTCACTGAATAATTCAATCCCAGAGAATACTGCACTTTAAAAAAGGATCGTGAGCGGATCCCTCGCCCAGACCCCCTTTCAAGAAGGGCCCACGTTCAATCCGCCATCTTTTCAACCTTTTATCAAACAAAATAAAACCTTGAATTTTCACCTTTGAACGAGGATCTGTATTGTGAGGGGAAATTAGATGATCATATCACCTCGAGAAATTAAAATCAGCAAGTTTTACTTTCTTGTCTTTTTTATTTAAAACATTTGCAGAATATCACCTGCACAATACGATAAATAACTTGAACTTAATTTCACATGAACTGTTCATTACAAAACGCCCATTATGGGCAACCTTTTAGGTTCGAAAACACTCGAGACAATAAACAGCCAAGTGGATGGACATCTCAAACGTTAACGAAATTTGATTTCGTATAAGCTGTTTGAATGGACATATATATTTGTAATTTTTTGACGTAGTTTTTCTCTCTTTCCAAAGTAATATGTTTTATTCCAGCCTCTGTGGTGATTCCGGCTCAAAGATTTCCCTCCTCGAACTCCGTCATAACCGACCTTGGAGTCTCGGCGGAGGAGAAAGCTACAAAGCCACTCGGATGAGCACCGAGTGTGCAAGGGAGCAGTCTCTTCTTGCATGTACAAGCGATCAAAGCAAATAAACTTTCGAGTATGAAAGTACTGAGAGATCATCATTGTTCTTAGGTAAATTCTGGCCTGAACATCTGCACCATCAAAGGCAAAGGCAAAAGGGCCTTCCTGAAGTCCACAAAATGCTCAGTCTTACTCCGCTAAATTTAAGCCTTTATCCGCATCACTGAAAAAAACAAAACAAAAACAGTCACCTTCACATTCATACAGTAGAATCGAGATTTCTCGAACCCTCATTTTTTCGAACCTCCCGATAACTCGTACCAAAAGTCGTTCCCTCTCCTCCGTTGAACAATGTAATTTTACCTCCGATTTCTCGTACTCTCCGATTTTTCGTTTCCCTTGGTGGGTTCGAAAAATCGGGATTCCACCGTAGTCTTCAAATGGCCTGTGCGCTTCGAATCGAACAACCGCAAATGTAACAAATGCTTGTCATGCTATAAATGTACTAAAACACGTAGGACTATTCTTGAAGTACTAAAGTAAAGTCTACTTCACCCTTTAAAAGCATAGAAAACTGAAGATCACTTCAAACTACGAGAAAAAAAAAAATCAGTTTCTGTACTTGAATTATCTCAACGAAGCAGAGATCCTTTACGAATTACACGTCGGAAGATTGAGACGTAACTTCTGTATGAAGCCAGTTATCGTTTCCAGAACTTACTTCGGAAAACCAAGGCGTGACACAATCTCTCGTACATTCGTGATGAGTCCCTCGTTCTCCTGGGGTGAGTCCAATATAACTGAATACAATCTGGTCATGTAAGAATCAATGGTATCTATTGTCGGCACCTCGTTAGTGCCTGGAAGTACCAAGTTCGCAAACGCTTGAACGAGAGCTGCCCGAAGATTGCTCAGGTCATTAAGTAGCACCATGTTCGAGTTCCGTTGTTGGTTTGTCTCCATTTCGATTTTTCCTATTGCTTGTTTCAAGTTCTCGACGTGTTTGGAGGTAACTGAGTTCTGTTCCTCGAATTCTGTGGCCGCCTTGCGAAGCTGTCTTAGTTCATTTTCACGCACTGCAAAAAAGAACAAACAAGTTTAAAACTCCAAGCTGAGGATGACTTTTTAACTTACGATAGAGGGCCACTGGTTCGTCAGTTTTTTACTGTTTTGTGTTACCCTCTGTAAATAAAGTTGTTACTTACTTACTTCCTTACTTTCCTACGTATAGTGTGTGTGCATACACGGTGTTATGTAATGTCGTCGTTCTGAAATACTCACACTGATTGTAAGATTTCGATCTGCAGAGATGTTTTGCCATTCAAATAAGAAGTATCTACATGACTATCACCCCTTTCCCTCTGACTTCTCCTTTTCGTTTCCCTTACTCCCTCTTTCCCTCTCCTTTCTTCAAACTGTCATGTACATGTACGTGCCCACATCGGTGTGGGCGTGGAGACAGCCTGTGATTAGTGCACTGGACTCCAGACCGGGCGTTCTAGGTTGTAACACAACAAAAGGACGCTCTCAGTGTCTCCCTCCATTTGCAGGGTACCCACAGCGCAAACTGCTACTTTGACCTGATAAAGTCTGGAGGGGTGGGCGGGTTTGGTGGGTAGACTGCCATGGATCTTTTCCATCGTGGGGAACCAGTCTTTTTCCTAACCTAAAGCCAGGATATGATCAGGGGGTGAGCGCCAACCCGCAACTGTATGAAATGGCATTTTGTATCTTATCCCTTTACGTACTTTCATTGTGTTTTAGAAATTCTTCCGTGAAGACAGGTGCGTTAAATCCTGGTAACTCTTCTTCTTCTTCGCTCTCGTTTAACCTTCCAGAAACTGTCTGCTTGTGCTTCCGGCCAAAGATGTGCTCTCTCTTGTTGTGGAGATTATTAAAGTACTGATTGCAAGGTTTGCAGTAGAGATCATCTTCTGCACAGAGCTGCAACAGAGCACAAGGAACACTTGTAATGATAAACGATTATAAAATAAACCATGAAATTAGTAAATTTTGATTCTACCTCAATGCCATTAGACATGCCATCTAATCCGTCAGAATTCTCCAAATCTGAAAGGGAAAGAGTATTGTTTGTAGTCCCACGGAGTGTCACTGAATATGGAAGAACTGTCTTTTGAAATAACCCTTCCTAATCCTATTGTCTATTACGTTTTCATTTTCGTATCAAATGGAGAATAATAATGCGATAAATCTATTGGGAAACGTTGTCACACATCCAACAATTAACAGAAAAGTTAGACAAACACTGATATCAAAATTATCGAGTTGTAAGGCTACAAGCATTCTAGTTCAGTTCATACCTTCACTCACTCCCTCTACCGAAAAAAAGTTGTCGGGTGGGGCCGATGAGGGGCTCCCAGAGGGGAGGGTGGGCACGTTATGTGTATTAAGTAAAGAGGATATAAGAACTAACTTTTTCTCTTCCTTTCGGCTTGCTTCTTCAAGAAGTTTCTATAGGCATCTGTTTTCTGATATGCTTCCAATTCCATCATGTATCTTTCTTTGTCTTTCTCTGCATCATCTAAGTACCTCTAAAAGACGGAAAATTGCTCAGCTGCAATTTAAACACTAATATCTGATTGACTGACATTGCAATCAAAAGAAACCGTGTTGGGCAGTCACGATACCCTAATGTTAGTGCATTCAACTAATTCGACTCCAGATTAAAGGGCTGTATTGGACCAAGTTTTTAGCATTGTATTACTTGGCAAGAAACCTAGCTATTCTGAGTCACATTGCCTCTGTTTACCTACAGCTGTATAGGTCAGAGTATAAACAGTTTAACAGTCATTGTTAATAAATTATATATCATATTCTAATGCGCTCCAGTGTTATAGTATTCTCTATCATTATAGGCCTGTAATACATGCAAAGAGCTAGATATTGAAAGGCTGATACCCCCACAAAATGTGGATTTTGCAGGGAAATCATTCATACTTGTTTTTCCTCGGCTGACAGTTTAGTCCACTGAGCACCAAGTAGCTTGGTCACTTCAGGAAAGTTTAGCTCAGGGCGCTCTGCTCTGACTTTCTCCCGTTGCTCGTTCAGGAACCTCACATACCCAGTCAGTGGGGCCTTCGGTGCATTGCTGTCTCGAAATGTCTTGCGCCTTTTCTTACCCTTTGGCCATCCACCTTTCTTTTTCTAATGCAGAATTAAACGGGAAAGATGTTAGAAACTTTCTGTATACTGCTCTTTCAAGATATCAAAATAATAGAGCAATGATGTCCAAATGGTTACTTAAGGCTACAGGTAGGTCCATGATATTCACAAACAGGAGCCTGTAGCAGCAGCAGTGATACCACAGCTTTATGCCATAGGATGCACGTGGCCGTGCAGCAACAAAGGAAGATTTAAAACCTTAAGAGTTTTCCAGATCGATTGACAAAGCAGGATGGAGGAGAGGGCTCAGGGGGATCTCTTCCTAAGTTCTTCTTTGAATTGGTCACCTGCCAACATACTCTCCTAGAGAGAGGTGGGACCCTACACTTAAAATGAATCTGACTAAAACAACCTCTCTGTTCACATATCACTGGCAAATTGGGAGTCCTGGCCTAGCACCCCAACTTTTACATATATCCAATCCACTGATTTTGAGGAGAATTTACAGTACATATATATCATGGTTTTGATAAAGACTGGACGCCAGGCAAATTGACTGGCTGTGAGGATGATTTTTCTGCCTGGTTTGACCACCTAGAGGAAAGTTTTTCTTATAGAGAAGCTCCATTCAAAACGTTTTGCCTGCCTGTGAAAACCAGTGGCCTCCCTGCTGAAAACATTAATGAAACCCCTGGTATATGGAAGTCTCACAATGAGCATGGAAATGGATATTTCACTTGATCTTACCACTGACTTGTCCACATCACCATGAGAGTTAGACACAGCTCTTGGTGTTTGAGTTTCCTGACAAACAGTTTCTTCTACTGAACCCCCTTCACTCTCACCTCCACTCAGGATTTCAACTGAAAGCAAATTATTCAGGCAATGAGCTGGAACAGGTTTCCCTCAAGGTCTAGATCAGATTCTTGAGTCATTAATGCATGTAGACACACTACACAAAATGTAAGTTACATGTAGACACAACTGTACAGCCTTGCTACAAAATATGGGAAATTACATAGATATTCATGACAAGTGAGACATGACACGCAATCTATGAAGTAACCAATCTTATCTCAAGTCAATTTTACATAATATTGTGAAATACATGTCAAAAAGATTTTCCACATTTCTATCGAGTTTTAGTATGAAACTACATTGCACTAGTGTTCTATCACGAATACTGTTCTCTGATTGACTTATGCTATCAATTCCGTTGTAGGTAGTGAGTAGCTAGCCTAGCAGTGCGTGCTGGGGCCCACTTCTTTACTTTGTCAAAGTGTCTTTGAAGAGGATTTATATTAAAGTTTTGAGCGACTTAAACCGCATTTATACTAAAACAATTAGATGATTCACTCTTGATTTCTATTTGTGACCTGATAGAAATTTTGAGCTCATAATCTAATTGTTAAATAGAAGAATGACTGGAAGTTTTGGAGGATTAAAAATACTGTAGAACACAAGTTAAGACAATCATTCCACAGCATTTCTTAGTTTGCACAATCTGCCTTCAAAAAAGTAATAATTATAGACATAAATATAGAGATATTGAACACTAAAAAGAGCCAGGCTCCATGTAGTTGGGACTGATACCAAAACAAGACCTTTCTATGACTAATGCTCAGGGACATGAAATTTCTCTTATTTTAAGATAGAGTCAGACTGCTTAATAGCCTAATATTAGTACCTTGACTCAAGTCAGATACAAAATCTGCTTCAGATGTTGGTAAAGCTTGACTTCCTTGAGGTGTGTGATAACTGGTAACTCCATTATGACTAGCTGCTGTAAAATGAAGACTACAGAAAAGAAAGCAAATGATCAATGAAAAATTAAAAATACATTTTCATCAAAACATGTCATAATTTTATTTTCAATCCTACACTATATTACAGGTTTTATCAAGAGCACTGAGAAAAAGTAATGCAAAGAACCCTTCTGGAAAGCAATAATATGCCCCTGCCCTAGTTAATGCTCCCAGTGCTGGGTTGATACACCTTTCCACCCTCCCCTTCTCCAAGCAAGAAAGCATGCAGCAGCCTTGTTGCAGTGGCATCCTGTTCAGGGAATGGCAAAGCAACCCAAGACTGGCTGGCATGAATGATTTATTTTCCCTCCCTGTCTATGAACATGGCTTTAAAGATCCCAAGAAACCATGCCACTTGTGCCCAGGCACCACATCAAGCAAGTTGCAAACACCAGTTCATTCCAATTTTTTCTTAGTTATTACTGCTTGGCACGGCTTATTTTTAATAGGTGGGAATATGGTTCTCCACTCGGGGCTTGTCACCTTGTCATAGTGGTGGAGCTTGCATGTCTCAATGACCCTAAGAGCTATGCCGGTACCTAGTCCCTGATGGGTTCTACCATGCCGCAGTGGTTGAGGGATAGAGGCCTGACAAAGGACAACCTACCCTCTGGTCATCCAAGTTGGGGTTTGGGCCTTTAAAGTCTAATCACCTGATGACAGACCTTGTAAAAATTATATGATTACAGAAACCTTAAAAATTCAAGATAATTTAATGAGTCTTAGGGGCACAGTGGTGCACAGTATGATGCTCCAGGGCTTTAAGCCAGGTAGAAATGCTAGAACTGAGGATGTCACAGGCTGGCCAAACACAATGTGGAAAGGGCGAGGTTCAGAGCAGGGTGGCAGTCCTGAAGTGAGGTGCATGCCGCAGCGCAAGGAAATAGTGGCTGGAGAGCAAATGTGGGTTCTTATGCGCCACTCTGGTGCAATGATTCAAGTGAAGGTGAAGGAAAAGTAGTCAGAGGAGGAAATAACATTTTCATCACCAGGTGATGTGTGCTTTGTAGACAGCAACTGACGATACGCAAAACACTGCGACACCAAAAGTCAATGCAGCCTTTGCTTGCTTTTAAAAAGATATTTTTTCTCTCCTTTTAATCAAACATTGTCTCCTATTTGATGTCGAATAAACCGCTGTTTATCTCATTTTTTAATGAGAAAATTAAATCAAAAAGTTGAGAAACTACTGAAACACACACTCAAAGTAAGCTTAATATCTTATAACAAAATTAGTTCAAAATATCAGCAATCATGGCAAGAATATATCCTCTGGGCATTATTTTGTACATATGAGCTCGGTTTTATCTTAAAGACCGCTGGAATATTCCTACACATGTATGTTGTACTAACCTGCCGTCCTCTCCTACTGTTGCCACAGCTAACTCACTGGAATCACCCACGTGTTTCACGTCTACAGAATCGAAACTTGACAGAGTAAAGCCAGGTAAAGACGTAACAGTGGTCGTGCCATCTAGTGTTGGAGTTAAAACGGCCAGGCCAGTTGACCCGGGCACAGAAGTAACGGAAAAAGTAGCTAGAGAGGTGCTGGAGATGGCCTGTGAGTCGAGGACTTGTGCTAATGCGGTTGCCGTCGCGCAAGATGTTCCATTGACCAGCGATGTGTCAGCGTGTAAAGTCGGATTTTCTCCAAGATCCATGACAAAAGTCTGCGGGTTCTTGATTTCTCACAGGAAGTGATCCTTCGTTCGAATGTTGTTGACGGAAGTGACTGTCTGGACGGTGTTTTAGAGGGGGGTTCGAGGGTTCTTCTTTTGGTTATTCCCACCAAAATGGCGGCCAACCCTCAATAAAGCCAACCACCCTCGAAGGACACAGGAACAATTGCCAATGTCCCGGATATTTATTTCCTGTTTCTTATATGTATGAAATACCTCTATAGCAATTGACCGCAGACCGATATTGGACATCGGTTCTTCCCGACCAACCCGACCCTCGACCGACCCGGGAACTTTGAAATTGCTAAGGACTTTTTCTTGGCCCTTTTGGAGCTAAAAGGTATGCTAACCTCCGCTGCTATAGTAGGACATGCTGTATTGTGTTTTAAGGAACTCTGGCATTTCATTTGAACGAGGTAGCTAGCTTTAGAATTCAAGACTAGAGTGCAAAATCCATACGTATACCCTATAATATACCCACTTGTCGTGGGGGTTCCTTTCCACATTGCTGTTGATTTTGTGAGTGTGCATCAGTGTGCATGCGACATTTAGACTACTAGTTTCCAGTACGTAAAGATGGCAGTTTTTGTGAGTTTTAGCTAGAAAGCTAGAGTCTCATATGCCCTGTTTTGCACGTTGGTCGGAGGTCGGGGGAGGGATGATTAAGGAAGTATTGTTGGGGCCTCCAACCTGTGGGGCCTTTATAGAGAAAAGTGAGCATACACTACAGCTATTTTGAGAAACGTTGTCCTGCAGGCCCGGGTTGTTCGAAAGGTGGATAACGCTATCCACCGGATAAATCACTATCTAATAGATAGCAAGGTTTGTTTTGCTAAAATTAATCCACTGGATAGCGATTTATCCGGTTGATAGCGTTATCCAGCCTTTGAACAACCGCTGCTAGAAGTGTAAAGGTCTAAAAGCGTACCTGACACTTTCGAAACTTCCGAAAAGTATTATGGGTGGGGTGGTTACTGTTCAGGTGTTTCAGTGCAAAAGAAGGAGAAACCATAGATAAAGGTATTCACTATCTTTTCCTTCTATTAGGCTGAAACACCATTATCTTCAAGGAACTGTTGGTTAACTGACACTACCAATAATGCCTTTCAGCATTGCCACGTCTGCTTCTATGCTATTGTGGGACAATCTTTCCCGAAACAGCTATGTGCCACTATATACTACTCAACATGACTCAAAAGGTGTAAAGTAGGCTCATAACATGTGCACGTGGCTGAAGCAATCACATTCCTTTGATAACTTTCTAAAAGCTTGACACATAAATAAATAAAGTCATCTCTGTCAAACAGAGATGGCTTCATTTATTTATGTGTCAAGCTTTTAGCATGCTTAATTCAAGGCTTACAAGTCAAGTGCACAGATCGAACCGGTCAATTTTGAGGAGGGAGGAGCAGTGTTTCAGCCAGAAAATTTTACTTGAGGGCCAAATTGGCCCCTGAAGATCTTTTTTAGGGGCCAATTTTTTAGGAAAGGGGCCAATAAATTGAAAGCTACAGAAGGAAAAAATGCATCAGGGTACCAAGAAAAATAAAGCAGCTTATTAAGATCTACGATAAATTTTAATAGTAAGTGCTTTTTGAAGTGTTTCTACTCTATAAAGTTTGAAGTATGAAGGATCTGTGCGTTACGAGAGAACAATCCTTAGGTGTACATGACGAAGTCAATGATCAAGAGTTTGCAATGCATTATAGGGCGTTTCTTCACACGGTTAGCCATTTGGAAGTTTTCCGATGTGAGAGAATCNAAATGAGGGTTTGTCATCCCATTTCATTTATGAATTTTAACAAAATCCACGCACCACATATCCTTTTAGCTGCTTCTGATGATCATGGCTTTTTCATAAACTCATGAATCACAATTTTTTTGTAGTTGGTTTTCTGCCTCATACACTAATTTTTGTCCTCGTCACATGTCATACATAAACCCTTTGGTAGGTAAAAAAGGTTAAGTCTGCATGCAAGATAAGCAGTGTTCCAGCCAGAAAATTTTACTTGAAGGCCAAATTGGTTCCTGAAGATCTTTTTTAGGGGCCAGTTTTATAGGAAAGGAGCCAATAAATTGAAAGCTACAGAAGGAAAAAATGCATCAGGGTACCAAGAAAACTAAAGCAGCTTATTAGGATCTACAATAAAATTTAATAGTAAGTGCTTTTTGAAGTGTTTCTACTCTATAAAGTTTCTTTTACCAGTATGAAGGATCCTTGCATCATGAGAGAACAATCCTTAGGCGTACATGACGTAGTCAATGATCAAGGGTTTGCAATGCGTTATAGGGCATTTCTTAACACGGTCAGCCATTTGGAAGTTTTCCGATGTGAGAGAATCAATACCGCAAATAGCACAGCAAAGCAAAAGGACGGATTGGCTTCTTTTCTTATGTTGAATGTTTTAGAATGTTGAATGTTGAATGTCGAATGTTTTCAATATGATTTTCTAGAAGGACATCATGTGCAACAAAATAACCGCTGTTGATCATCAACACAGAGAAATGTAGTCGCCATTATGGGGACTAAACCAGAATTTTTGGTCGCAAAGGATGAAATGTTAGTTCCATTGGCGACCGATATGGTCATAATTTCGAGCCCTGGGATGGCTTTTAAAATACTAGGTCTGTGTTAAGCCTGCAGCCTTGTAAAAAGAAAGGGCCAAATTGGCCCTTTTTTTGTTTCTCTGAGGGCCATCTCTGATTCCAATGCGGGATTCGCCTCTGGATGGGATGCTAGCCCATCACAGGTTACCAGCATTAAATTTGCCCATACCCATTTATACACCTGGGTGGGGAGAGGTACTGTGAGAGAACAAGAACACAACACAATGTACCCGGTCAAGGTTTGAACTAAGAACACTCAATCCAAAGTCAAGCACACTAACCAGGAGGCCACCACACCTCCCATGCATAACCCCTTTGCTGTCTTCATATATGGTGAGATTTCCCCATGGTGGGAGAATCTTGCTGGTTAAAGACCCCTACATCATAATATTTCCCTTCTGATATCCTCTGAACTCTCTTTATGTCACTGTAATATTCCCATTGGTTTCTCTTGCCAGTACACAAACTTATGCATTAAATTATATTATACATCTACCTACCAACTTTTTCAGAATCACAGGCGTGATATTTTTTATCCTAGGTGGGCTTGGATTTTTGAAGAAGTTCCAATCTTATCTTAAGAGGTCTCGAGTTTTCCAAAGGTGTCTTAGAATTGGGGGAAGTGTACCATAATTTAAAAAGACTTTTCTTTTCCGCCATTAGTTCTAGTATAATACATATTTTTTTAGAAGTTAACACTATAATAATTCAAATCCTTTAGCTAAGTGTGAGATTTTGGTCACAGAGACTCATGCTAAGTATACTCTGGGTCTATAGGTTGAATTTTTATAAGCTGAACGGAAACCTTATCTTGTGACAGATGTATTGGTTTTACGAACGTGTGGAAATATTATTTCTTATTTATTTTTCAAAAGAAAAAAAGCACTTTCATTAACATCTCAATATCGGAATATTACGTTTCTTGGTGTCACTTTATTTCAGACGGCTTGGGTATAAGCTTAAGCTCAAGTTCAACAAATATTGAAGGAACATGGAACATGCACATACTGTACTATTTTTGTTATTGAAGAACAGCTCTGTGCTTACCTGAGCTCGTATTCTCTTGACTTTATCTTCAAATTCTTTCTGTTTGTTTGAATCAAGGGCTAAACTTGATAGTTCATTCGTTTCACCATCTTCTATATTGTCGTCCGCCATGTTGAAATTTGACCACGTGTGTTTGGAATGTCACGTGAAGCGAGCCCGCGATAGCAGAATTTTATTGCTATGGCAACTGATGGCAACCATAAACTCCTTAGCTAATAATCAAAATGGCGAAGTATGTTATTGCTGGGAAGGCGAACTGCCCTTTCTACGCTAAAGCAGAGCTTCTAGCGGATGAACTCTCGTTGAACCTGCCAGATTTCAAAGTTCACAAGATTGTTAAGCAGCCCGACGAATGGAGAGACTGGCTGCAACTGACCTGCGAAGAGAAGGGTTGGAAGCACTTCAGCTCACCTCTTATCTGGCGCGAGTTGGTCGATCGAGGCGGCGCGGGAATCCTTCTTGGTGGGTGCGATGACTTCTTAGAAATGGCGAAAGGCTGCTACGGCATCACTTCAGTAAAAATGAGCGACGAGTTGATAAATATAGCCAAAGAAAATCTTCAAACGAAGATCGAGATTGACGCAGAGGAAGAACAGAGAAAAGCAGCCATCACGCCATTGAGAGTTTGTGTTGGTGGTGCTTCGAACGCCCTTGCTTACGGTGTTTTGAGTTATTTAGCTCAAGGAGAAGTGTTTGGAATCGATCAAGAAGTCAGTTTTTATCTGCTCGACACGCCCGATTCTCAAGAAGTTCTTAAGGGAACAGCCATGGAGATCCAAGATTGTTCATGGCCTCTGCTAAGAGAAGTAGTTTATACGTCAGATCCAGCCATCGCCTTCAAAGACGCCAGCGTTGTAGTTCTGCTGGATGGCGTGCCTGTTACAGAAGAAGGCGATAAAAAGGAGCAGCTCATTGCCAATGCTAGAACCTTCAAAGCTCATGGACAGGCACTTGATCAGTATGCAAAGAAAGATGTGAAGGTACTCATTGGAGGGGGACCGTCAAGTGTGAACGCTTTTGTCACTAGTAAATTTGCCCCTTCGATACCAAAACGAAATATCTGTGCCTTGGCCCGCCTTCAGGAAAATAGAGCTAAGGGACTGCTGGCGAAAAAGCTCAATGTGAACACTGCTGGGATAAAGGATGTCATTATCTGGGGTAACATAGGTGTTGTTACTAGACCTGATCCCAGAAATGCAAGAGTTCATGGGTATGATGGGGCCATTTGGGGGCCACATGTTCCAGGTTTCACACAACCAGTACCAGAAATGGTCCATGATGATAAGTGGCTGGCAGGTGAGTTTTTGGAAACCTTGAAAAAGCCCCTGGATAATGTGAAAAACCCTGATGCTACCCCATCATTATCAGAGAGCTTTGCAGTGCTCTCACAGCTTTGTGACCTGTGGCAAGGGACATCTTCAGAGATTTTCTCCCTTGGAGTAGCTTCAGAAGGATGGTATGATCTTCCACAAGATATTGTGTTTTCTTTGCCAGTCAAGTTTGGTCAAGGTTCCTGGAAAATTGTTGACAATATACAACTTGACGACAACCTTAAAACTCAACTGCAAACCATTGCTGAAGAACTAAAGAAGGACTGTGAGGAAGTTTTAAGTGAGCTGAACTCTGAATCTTGAGTTAAATTGTAAATATGCAGTTGAACAGTTGTACATACTATCAGGTAGAGAGATTAGTGCCTATTTAATAGTTAATAGTTAATTAATAGTTACTAGATAAATTATAGTGACAACTAACACAGCAAACCTGTTGTAAGAGTCATTTATTACATTGTTGTGAAGAGAGATTTGCTGCATTGAATAAAATCTCTGATGTTTAAAGTGCATTTGAAACGCTTGAGTTGTTTGATTTTCCACGTGGGAGTGGAGGTGGGCGAGCTCACACAGTTCCAGAATCAAGAGTAAATTATATTACCGTAAACTTCCGATAGTAACGATCCTCTGAAAGTAGCAAGCGCAGCCAACGCCAACCCCGCCTACCCGCTAAAAATAACGAGACCAAGGTTNTTTAAAATACTATGTCTGTGTTAAGCCTGCAGCCTTGTAAAAAGAAAGGGCCAAATTGGCCCTTTTTTCATTTTTCTGGGGGCCATCTCTGATTCCAACGTGGGATTCCCGCAATGGCTCGGTCTGGCGGAAACAATGGAGGAGTATCTGCGCACTGGAGATGTTATTTTCCATTTCTACAAATTTTGCAACTTTTTGCCCTTACACTCTCAGGGTCAAGTTACAGTGTAGCATCTGACAAGACACTGCACACTAAGAACTGTAAAGTAAAGCTTTAGTTTGGTCATATAAAACAAAAGAGAAATTTACTTACATTGTTAAATATATTAATAATAGCTGAACCATTAGCACTGAAAGTATGATACCCCCTTTCTGCAGGCCTGCAGCCTTTATTTTTTTTTGGAGGGGGGGGGACAGGAGGGGAGGAGTGCAATCACACCCAAAGTGGACAAAACTATTGAATTGCACTTATTGATTGCCTAAGCCAATTATTTAGGAGAGTGGCAATTTCGAGACATTGTAATTGGAAAGCATGGCAGAGAATTTTATCTTAGTTGAATACAGTTGTTTGAGCAAGTTAACTTTCACTTAATACAGTTCTTCGGGTATGGAGATGGACTCATCCTTAAGGATTTTTAGAGCTGCAGCCTCTGTGGGTTTTGGCGGCAAACATATTTATCACCTCTTCTAAGTCAATGTTAATCTGTAAGTAGATGTGTACAATTGCAAGGGATAGAAGCCTTTCTTGGTGTCTTTGGCCCGTTGCATGCCCTGTTATATGTATGCAGCTGCCATTAACCACTTGAGCTGATAAAAACTCCACTCTTTCCATTCTTTTGTTTCAGTTATTTATCACTTTTTGGTGTTAAAGATTTACGAGACAGTATCCTTCACTTTAACCGACTGTTAGACCTATCGAAATTCAGACCTTTGTTGTTTTCATTCCTACCTCAATCGTTCTCTTCCACGTTTCTCGTGGCTGGCCTCGCTTCCTTCTTCCGCTATGCATTGTCCACCACAATGCAGTTTTTGTGATGCTATCCCGGTATTTCCTGAGAATAATCCCAAGCCATCTCTATCTCCCTTTGCGTTATTACAGCCATAACTGTGGTTATGTCCCGCTTGCCTGTCTTTTGATAGAGTTCCTTGTTTGTGATCTTCTTGGGCCAGTATATTCTGCATATCTTTCTCAGGCATGAAGTGTGGAAACCTGACAGTCTCCGTCTGTCTCTTTGGGTAACCGTGCAGCATTCTGCACCAGACAGTAGTACTGACAAGACGTTATCGTTATAGACCTTTTTATTACATAGCTAGCTCCGCGAGCGGACAAGATGAATCAAATCCTGCGCTGTGATTGGCCACCCGAGCGGGCAAGATGGAGCTATCTTGCCCGCTCAGGACTACCCGCCGTGTCCCGAAAGAAAAATTCCCCGAAAGCAATATAATAAATCCTTTATTGACCAAGCTTGTTCGGCCAAGATGGCTGGATATTGGTCTCGTTCTTTTTTTGCGAGTTTATGGACCTCGACTCCGTCTCGGTCCATAAAGTCGCAAAAAAAGAACTTGGCCAATATCCAGCCATCATGACCTCACATTTGGTCAATAACCCATATATCTTTCTTTTTTTCATTGATGTTAGACGACTTCCATACTTTATTCTATTAAACAAAGGATGATTTGGCTTTCTGGAGTCGGTTGGTAATGCCCTTCACAGTGGCATTGCTTTTGCTGATAATACTACCCAAGTAAGTAAATTCCTTTACTTCTTCCGAGTCTTCCTTTTCCAGTTGCACTGGTAATGGTGTATCCGCAAGCCGCATTGTCTGGTTCCTCTTCCCGTTGACAGTGTTCAGGCCTAGTTGCTGGGCAGCAAGCGTGAGTTCTGATGTTTTTCGCTGTAGTTAATCTCTAGTAGAAAACAAGACTGCAACATCGTCGGCAATATCGAAATCTTGTAGCAAAGACGTTAGTGTCCACCTGATGCCCCCTTCTTTTGTTGCCTATCTTCTTCTTGCGCATTATCCGGTCAGTGGCTACTACGAATAAACTGGGCGACATGGTGCAACCTTGGCGTGCTCCACTCCTAACGCTGAACCAGTCCGTTAACTTCTTCTTACGGATAACACTACAGGAAAAGTTGTTGTACAAATGTTTGACGACGCTGACAATGTTCTCTGGGCATCTATACGCTAGCAGAATATTCCATACGGTGTCTCTGTTGATATTGTCAAAGTCCTTTTCCAGGTCTATGAAATTAATGTACACCTTAGTATTCCACTCAATACACTGCTCGATGATATTTCGGAGCGTTAAAATGTGGTCCATGCACCCTATGCCTGGTCTTAAGCCTACTTGCTCTTTCCTTAAGGTGGTATCAATAGCATCTGCACTTAACCTCACTTGGGATGATTTTACAGAAGATCTTGCTTGGTACTTAGAGGAGTGTTACTTACCTCAAGTTTGTACATTGTGTCCTATCCCCCTTCTTGGGGAATTAAACGATCAGTCCATTGCACCAGTCTTCAGGTTTGGTCTCGGCATTTCAGATGTTATTGGATAAGTCGTATAACCAGTCTGTCGCCGTCTGTCTCTATTAGTCAATGAATATTCTACTGATAGTTTTTGTGCTAATCTTTGTGATGTTGCAGGCCCTTTCTTTTCGTTGATCTCTCTACGTTTGTCTCATCTCTTATCCAACTCTTATCTCTTTTCCTTTTCTTCTCTAGCACACATTCACATGCATATATAAAGTAACTCTCGTTTGCTCTCCTCCTTTCTGATTCTGCATCCCTTTCTGCCTCTTCATCAATGTTACTTGGAGTCTCATATATTTTTTTTTACAGCTATAAGGAATTGTTTGCTGACATGTGGCTTTCTCAGCGTAGCAGTGTTGTACCTTTGCCTCTTTTCTTCCACCTTGGTGAGATTTCTTCTCAACTGTAGTTTGACAATTGCTGTAGAATAGAAGAAGGTGGAGGTCGCTTCCAACATCAGCACCTCTCTTTACGGTAATGTCGTGTTTCCAGCGACCATTGATCAAGACATGGTGCATTTGGTTCTTGACATTCCTATTTGGGAGATCCATGTTAACTTATTGATCTCTGTGCTCAAAGATGGTACCTCCAATAACAAGATCATTTAAACATAAATATTAGCCAGCCTCTCTCTATTCTAGTTCATCTCGCCACAACCACTTTCCCATAGTCTTTTTCTTTCGTTAGAACTTCGTACTTTGATGTTCAGATCTCTGATCACTAGCAAAATATCGTGTGAGGGCACATTATCTAATAATTTTTTTTAGCTCTGTCAACACCGTATATTTTTCAGCGTCAAATCATCCAAATGTGTTGAGGACAGGGATGCAGTTATCAGGGTGGCCCGAAGTGGGACGCATTTTAGCGGGAAACACTTTCCCGCAAGGAAGAAGATTCAGGCCCGTCGATGGTACCAACATCCGCCATTGCTGCTTTAGCGCTTCTTGTGATATGGAATGTATTTTTCTCGTGGGAAATCGCTGAACTGGATTGTTTCTGGTATAGAACTGAGTATTGTTTGAAGAAAATAGCCAGCAAAACACAGGGCTAAGCCAATCAGCTAGGCCTTTCCACAAATATCATGGAAAATCGCGTAAATATCTTTCCGGAAATCTCAGAAAATCTTCTTAATATCACGACAAAAAATTTTTTGGAAATATCTCGAAAACCCCTCTAAATATCTGTTATTTTTGTCGTAAAAATACACTGACTTTGTATTACTTAGGCCAAAATTTTCAAACTTTTCTTGCAGTAGTAGGAGTTGAGGAAGAAGATTCAGACACGTCGATGTTACCAACATCTGCTGCTTTAGCGCTTGTGATATGTAAATGTATTTTTCTAGTGGGAAATCGCTGAACTGAATTGTTTCTGGTATAGAACTGAGTATTGCTTTAAGAAAATTGCGAGGAAAACACAGGGCTCAGCCAAAAAAAGCTATGAATATTGCTAAATATCCTTGCATTTTCTAAATATCTATTTTTTTTCATAAATATCTCGGAAACTTCTTAATATCCTCAAAAAATATACGGATTTTTGTGGAAAGGCCTGTCATCAGCAGTTCAGAGCAAAATCCGCTTGAATTACGGCGCTCTTCTTCATTTTGACGACTTCACCTTTTAAGTACTTCTCAGCCTGTGAACAGGCTCTCTAGTCGAGGATGGGGCGAAAAGACAGCGAGAAGAAAGAGAATAGAAGTCCCCGCTCGGTCACTGTTCCGTCAGCCTGTTCCTTCTTGGCTCTCCTAGCCGCGGTCAGACTCTTCCAGCTTGAACCTGTTCACAGGGTAAGTTCTTCTTTACAGGTGTGGTTGTACATTTTTTCCTCAAGAAGTACCTCGGTAAGTTTGAAACTGACCCAACAGTTTCTCCATTATGGCAAACTAACCATAGGAAGACCCGCGTGTCAATAATTTTCGCGGCCATCGCCAGTACTATTAAAACTGGGTTCCGTCTTTCAATATTGAGCAGAAATTCGGCTTTATAAGAACTAGGTTGTATACTTGGCTCAAATTTACGAAGTCTGATAATATTTAACCCTTTGACTACCAAATTTTCACAAAAAATGCAGTTTTTAACCGTGAAATCAGTTTTTTGGCTGCCATGACGCTAAATGGACCTTAGTTTTGCTGAAAAAGCTATTTCTTGTTAACAAAAGATAGATTTCCCCAAGATTAGGTGCAAAAATGTACAATATCTTAATTTGGAACACGCGCATAAGCCAAAATTTGGAAAGTTTTGGAAAAAATTGTGCTTTTCTTTAAAGCACTCCTTCTGACTGCGTACGTGTATGGATACGTGCATGAAAAAATACTTTTAAGCGCTTTTAAAAGTCTCTTTTTCCTTTACTTTATTAGTTTGGTACGATGGACAAGATCTTAATTGTAAACGACCAAATTTCTTCGAAAGTAAGGAAAACTAGTTACCAGAATTCGGTGCACAGTATTCGTGGATGAGGCCATACTAATGTTCATGCTTGTTTACCGGCAATTGGTAGATCAATAATCAGTCAGTCGCAGTCGGTGGAACTTGAAGAAGCGTGGAAGACTTTCTTACTATTAAAGTAATGATTCCAATTTCAGCTGCTTGCGAAAACTGAAATCCTGGCCAGCGATTTGTCCGTTGAGCCCAATTCCTGCCAATATGTACTAGTGTACGAGAATGGACTGAGGAGGATTGTAGTTGAGATAAGCCTAAAGGCTGCAGTACAATCAGGTTAACATATACACTGCGAGTAGAGATTCCCCTCCCTTTCTGCTCGTTATAAATCTCGTCATATCTGTCTCGCAGGGAAGCTTACTTGGAAAGCTCCCTTGTAAAATCGGTTTGATTAGATTCGCAACCCCTTTTTACCCAGCAGTTAGCTTTTTAAGGCATTTTCTCTAGTTTTATAATTGTTATCTGGCAAAGACAATTCCAATTTGTTGTTATTGCTGTGCGAGAGCGCCAATAAACTATTCATATTTAGAAGTGGCCAACTCGATATCGTTGTTAAATAATTGAGAAGGGCGTTTTCTAGAATGAAAACTTAGTCCAGAAAATTGCATTCTTTATGAGGTCATATCCGTTTGTCAATGAGATTCCCCCTTTTTACCTCCTGTGTTTTCCATCAGTTTGCATCAAGTGTACGGCGCAGTCAAATAAGTGGAAGCAAAAAAATCAAGAGAACAACTAAATGCAAGAAAGAACAAATTTCTGCTAATGACCGGGTTAAAAATATGACTCAGTCCCGATCAGGTCAATCATCAATACTCCTTTCCTTTAGGCTTCTTCCACCCATGACACTCATACGATCTACGCCCTTGTCAAACTATATGTTCCCAGTAAATACGTATATCGGTGTTCTGTGAATCTGCCAAATTATTATTTTTGTACAGAAAGTGTGATTTGAAATGTTATTTATACGAGAGGGGACCCGAACACTGTATCAGCAGTAACATAATTATTTACAGTCATGTAAAATAAATGTACAGTTATTTACCTGTGTTCCTGGGTCAATTTTTTTTTCAGATCTCTTCTAAGCGGCTCAAAAAGACACAGGAACACAGGCAAATAACAGTATATTTATTTTGCATGGATATAAATGATTATGTTATTGCTGATACAATATTCGGGTCCCCTGTGTTTATACCGTCAGATTTTTATTTTTGTATGTACTCCGGTTGCCATACACCATAGTTTAAGATATTAGTATTTTTGTAGCACATCTTGTTCGCGTGCAAAATTGAAGTTTTGCCGATTTTTAGTTTTTCTGATTATCGCTTCCACGGAAGTGTCGATTGCCCTAAAAAGTGAATTTAAATGCCCATCTTCAGTCCCTGGGAAGTCCCATATAAAAAGGACGGGGTGCTCGTCGGAAATTTTGACTGATGTAATGTTAATTTCATCTTGAACAATTAAGGGGAAGGCTGCATGGTAAAACGCCAATTGAAAAAGCCAGGTATCGTCCAGAAAAAATGTTGTATCGAGACAACTTAGACCAGCTTTCTCGAATCTTTTACTGATATCATCTTGCAACTGCTTGTTACAGTTGCGCGTAGCATGGTAGGGAAACAGAAAGATGCTGGAATTGCTCAAAGAATTATCACCGAGCCGCAGACAGTAGCTGTAATCATTTGGAGATTGTCCCCAGCAGTTGGTGTAGAGGCGTGATGGCCTCATGGTTAGTGCGCTTGACTCCGGATCGAGCGGTCTAGGTTCGAGTCCTGGCCGGTGACATTGTGTTGTGGTCTTGGCCAAAACACTTTACTCTCACAGTGTCTCTCTCCACCCAGGTGTACAAATGGGTACCGGCCAATTCAATGCTGTGGGGTAACCCTGCGATGGACTAACATCCCATCCAGGGGGGAGTAGAAATACTCTTAGTCGCTTCATGCTACAGAACCTGGGATAAGCTCCGGGATGATGGGCCTCTTAGCTCGTATGCAGACTATACCTTACTTTTACCCTAGCAGTAGGCCCGTCCGCGTGACTTGAAAATAGCGTTTTGTTGACAATGTGTTGATGGCCAGATATAAAAGACTCACAAACGACAGAATGTATAGACAAGGAGTACTAAGTAGAGTAGGGAGATGTCTTCTACCCCTTGCTCTAATCTCCTGTCAGCCCCTTTCTTGGCCATGACTTAACTTTTCGTCTTATGTGTAGTTTGACCGTTTTTTTTTTTTTTTTTGCTTCCTTTCTGCTTTCTCCTTAGGTAAAGCATGGAGCATATCAAAGTTCAGCGGGATTGCGTGAAGTAGAAGTGAGTTTTAAATTTATGCCGCTCCATCTTCCTTATCTCTCCACGTTTCATCTCAAAACGCGCTTGGGAGGGAATATTATAGAAAGAAGCCCCAGCAACGTCGACAGCCTTATATCGGGAAAAGCTGACTTTACATCTTAGAGAATATATCCTTATCATAATGAAGTAAACGCCTCAAGGACAGCTTTTGTTTGAAAGCACGGAAGGAAATTGCATCCCCATAATACAAACGCGTGTTTTGAATTTCTTTTTTTAGGGTGGCAAAGGAGAAAAAGGGAACGAAGGCCACCGGTATGTAGAATCATTTTAATATGATTGAAAGATATGCGGGTATAAAATAGAGATACACGTACATATCTCCGGGGGAGTCCTATATAAAAACGACAGGGGTACTCGTTGGAAATTTTGACAAGAACCCCCGAGAGATACCAAGATCCTGTTTTCATCGTGTTTCACTGTTTTTTACCCTTTAGAGGTACCGGTGTAAATGAGACAAAATTAAAACTCAGTTGATTGTCAAATATCTCCTGTCATGTGACGGTACCACGAAAGCTCCCACTCTGGATCTTTTGAGGGCGAACACCCTAAGAGGCACCAAACTGGCTTTTTATTTAACCCCTGAAAGGTACGACAAGCACCCCCCCCCCGTCCTTTTTGTATGGGAGTCCATTTAATATAGAGGAGAAAAGAAGTATTGTTCCTCTCTTTTAGTTTCATCGACCTCTTATCGCAATTTGCATTGCATTTAATGCTTTTATTCTCATTTTCACTTTGATCTCGTATTCCCTTCGCTGCTGTCTGATCGGCTTGTCTTTAATCCAATCCCTTGAAACCTAACGAGATAGAGGAGAATGAAATTGAAATAAGAGTCCAGGTAACAGAGAACCTAAACGTTACTTTTCATTAATTATACGGAGCTTTTTATTTCAAGTTTTTTTTTTCTCCAGCTTCTTGTCAGATAAATCGACAAAGTGGTTTAATCGCCACAATGAGATTTTAAGTTGCTGTTTCGAGCCATATCCCTTTCTCAGAGCTAATCAGGGATTGTGGAGTTGTGACAGCGTTTATTGCCTCTGGCTGGGGGTCAAGAGGGTTTGTGATTGGTAGAAATACTGGACAACTGAGAAAAAAAAAAGACGAAAAGGAAAACAATTGAATATTAAATAAGTGTTTGAGGCCGCAGAAAAACTTCCTTAAGCCAATAATCTCCCCATCCAGTTTCTCTTTTTCTTTTTTATGTTTTTAGCTGTTTCTTTTATTTTCCAGTCATTTCAATTTCTTTCTCTATATTCAGTTATTATGACAGCGTTTATTGTCCCTGGATGGGGTTCAGGAAGGTTTGAGATTGGTGGAAATACTGGACAATCGAGTTTACTGCGCCTTTCGGTAACATGCGGACTCTAAAATTCAAAGCTCAACCGACAAATGCGTTTTTCGCTACCGTCAATCAAGTGTTCGGTGGCTCCCTCCAGCTTCCGACTACTGCCCAACGCGCGGTAATCAAATCGTTGAGCACAGTTCAGACAACGAAATAGTGTTCGGCAGTAGTCGGAAGCTAGAAGGAGCCGCCGACCATTTGGTTGACGGTAGCGAAAAACGCATTTGTCGGTTGAGCTTTGAATTTTAGAGTCCGCATGCTATTGAAGGGCGCAGTAAACAAAGACGATAAAGAAAACAACTAAATAATATAATAAGTGTTTTAGACTGCACAAAACCTTTCTTTAGAGAATAACCTCCCCATTTTCTCTTTTTCTTTCTTTTATTTCAGACTGTTTCTTTTATTTTCCTATCGTATCAGTCTCTTTCTCCATATTCAGTTCTAAACGGATGCGTTTTAATCTTGCCTTTTCACGTTGATGTGACCTTGAAGCCCTTTCTTGAATTCTAACGTCAATTTATCTTCTACTGAAATGTTGTTACTGCTACCTATTAATATTACCACTTTTCTATTTCCGACGAAGCGAGATAACAATATAATTAACTGGTTTGGTTAGCTTTACTTTCCACCATATACTATCTCATTGGACTCTCTCTTTTGAAAGGTCACACGAAAGATATAAGCAAAGTTTTTTGTATCCTGGATAAACAAATCAAAGAATAAAGTGCGCTGAGGAAGAACTTCAACCTTAGATTTCTTTTCTTTTCCTAACAAAAAGATTGCTTAAGAAAGATTGCATAAGAAATTCGAAACTTGGATGTCAACAATAGTAAAAGCAAATTGGTTGGTATTTATAAGGGAGAAATTAAAATTCCTGCTTTTTTGCGTTACGCCCCGCCCTTCACCACTCCAGATAGGAGACAGCACTTCAGTTGCTAACAGACGAGGCTTGTTTTTTCAGCTAAGTGATATTGAGTCGCCCACCACTCTAGTGTTTTCTTTACTTGGAGGCTTTCGTTATAAATGTGGAATTTTTCAACTCAGCAAACTTGTCCAGGTCGCTCTCGCACATTGACAAAACGGATGTTACCGATTCTTTTAATATGTATTTACTTTTCCGCGCAAATCATTTGGTTAGTACGGTTTCTAGAGACCGTGTTAAGTGGATTCTTTAAATAAATGAATTGTTGCCAGTGCGACGTTACAAAGAGGGAAAAAAGTGAAAGAGCGATGCTTCAAGGGATATTGGATCTTAGAGTACCAAGGGGCAAGTGATCCATGCACCAAATGCTTTTAGCGATTTCAGTAGAGATAAGAACAAGAGTTAGGTCGGAAACAGTCTAGTAGAAGAGCGAGTGAAGTAAACAAAATACAGTTCAATAAGAGAGCTTTTAGCGTAAGTGAAAATGAGGAATTCATTATTTGTGGCTCGGAAAGGCGATTTACTTTAATTGGTAGATTAAGAGCTATAATTTCCAATTTCAGTCTCGAAAGAAAGGAATCAACTATTAATGAGATTGGAATTTGACGTTTTCGAAAACAATAGCGCCCGCAAGAGTGCTTACACGCCAGAGTGTCTTAAGGCAAAAGCACGCCGTTCTCACGCATCCAGCGTCGCTCCAAAACTCAACCAATATTAAATCTATTGAATCAAACTGCTTTTACTAGTTCACAAATAGCATGAACGCTTACTTTACAGAGAAAAAAGGGCGATAACAATCGAGAAAGGAAACACTTATCTTGCTTTTTTGCTGATTAACATGTTATGCGACAACTGGCGGGAACAACAAGTTTACCGGCACATGACATTAAAATTCTTAACATAACAAATAAGGCATTAATCGCACTAGCGTTGTGTGCGGAGCGTGAGGGTACAGCTTTCTCTACTGTTTCTGTTCCGCTGTGTCGATCTCCTAAGAACTTTAATTGCACCAACATATGATTATACAACGACTTTCCTGTGCTTAAATCAGGAGGGGGCTTTTATGTAATCCCGTTAAATCTAGAACCTCTTCTTCTTTGGCAAGAATTCAAAGCACCCTTTCCTTTGGTTCAAAAGAATTGACCTATCTTCAACTCCATCTCCTGCTGAATTACTAAACAAAATTGAAGTGGTCACGTATCCGACTTTGACCTTACAATTTCGGGACACCATTGTAGGAGGTTTAGCAAGAGAACTTAATACAAAGATTCCTTCTCGTTTTCTTCCTTCTTCCGTTGTAAAAAGCTAAGTCGTGCTTTAGGTTTTAAATATTGTGGCTGTTCGTTACGTGCGCTCCGTTTTTTCTCTTGTGCGTCCTGATCCGCCTCCTTTGTTTTTTATCTTTAAGCGTGGCGAGGTGTTGTGTATTCTCGCTTCGATTTACATCGAAAAGAAGCTAAGTCGCAAGAAGGAATGCATGCACTCTAGTCTTGAAGACTGACTGGTGAAATTCTGACCCCTAGACGAAAATGGCTCTAGGTAAACGCACAATTTTATTTTATCAAAGAAGGCATTTGTTACTCTTTTCAGAAACGTGGCTGGCCTTAGAGGAAATTAGGTATGATGTAAAATATGCCTCGAGGAGTGTCTTTCATCTGAGAGAAGAGGCGAAGTTTATTAAAGCGGCTTTATATATAAAGAGAATGGATCTGCGGTTTCCTCTCTTAGTAAAGTTCATTAACTGAATTCCACAAAAAGCTGGTAAATATAAGCAGTTATGTAGGCAAAGCATGCTAGATTTCAGAAATCAATATGTGAGACCGGTCAACTGAGACGCTCAAATTCAGGTATAAAGTGAGAACCTTTCATTCTAAATTCATTCCAAGTTCGTTCAGTTCTTGTTAAGAGTTTTCTCTTTGATTTAGCATGACGCGGTGTGCTGTTTGACACTGATTTATAACTACATTGCTGATTAGAAAAACCGCAAAATGTTTCCGAGACTTTTTCAAATCAAAATGATACCACGGAAGAAATCAGTGTCTTCAAGTCAATGCGAAGTGTCTAAATGCCAAAATAATGTCGTAACAATGAGTGGATTTTCCGGTACACTAACACATTCGAAATGCCACAATAAATGTCAGTGAGTATATTTACTGTAACACCTACCCCTTTCTTTGCTTTAGAATTTTGAAATATGAAGTCTTGCCAGCGTTTCGATTCATCGACTAACTACGAAATTGTAGGATACGAGTTATACGGCAATTGGTGCTTTTCTTTCGAAAATATAACGAGTAGAAGACTGTTTAAGAACCGGCTATACCAATACGGGATAAAGTGAATTTTGTATTATGCCATCGATTTAACCTGATAAAACAAATGAGCTTGAACTACAAGTCAATTTTCGCTATGATTAACTTTTTGATACAATGGAAGAACGACTTATTATTTTCCAATTAAGTCTGAAACGCGTTAACGTTTTCTGGGGTATTTTTTTTAGGTGTGCTTTAGTTTGCGTGGGTTTTTCTTGACTGGAAAGCAGGCAATCGCGATATAATCTATTTACTGCCTTCCAAAGACAATTTACGACTGAAATTTTATGTAAATCTTGTTGTCTTTTCTCAATTTTGTTCCAGTACGGCGGGTTAGGTGTTGTGAATTCTGTGAAAATGACAGATGGCCATTTACACAGCAAGCAGCAGAGGAAACGACTTTCTTTTGTATCGTTAAAGGAAATGTTGTACTTTGATAAATGAAATTTATCGCTTCTTTATTTATCCGTAATTTGCAAGCATTTATTCTATTGAAAGCCCTAAAGACGTGAAAAGAAAGCAGGGTGATTTGCTAGCTGTTAAGAAGGGGAAGATTTGAACGCGTACAGGCTGAAGAAACGTGGAAAATAAAAGACGGCGACAGAGGAAAACAGTAATGAGTACTTCTGCAAATTAAACAATGAGCATGAATTTGAACGGCTAAAGAGCTTTTTGCTAAAGTGTAAAGAGAGTTAAAATCGAGGCAGCCATTTGCTAAGTTGAGATAGAAAGTCGTTCATAACATAAATATAGTTATTATAAGCAATAGGGGATTTACGCAAAACCTTCTGTCTGATTAAGCCCAAGTTTAAACCAAAATGAACCATATTGACTTAAAAGATAAGGATCTTCGAGAGAAAAAGTTGAAGGATTTTGCGATTTGTATTTTTTTTGTCGGTAATGACTGGGGAAAGATCTTCCACAAAAGAGATGATAAATCTCTTCTAGATGTGTCGTTTACAAAGGAGATTGTAAAATCTTCGGAAAAAAAATCCAATGAAGCCTTAAATGTCAAAGCTATCAATCTTCAAAACAAAATGAACAGTGATAAATTGAACTGGTGTAGATCTTAACACTAAAAAAAAAGTTAAACCCATTTGGTTTGAAAACGAAGTGAGCAGATGCCGATTTGTACTTTACTAAACTTCTTTGTCTCTCTAAGTTTATGATTCAGATTTGAATGAAAGTAAATGACTGATCCTAAGCTTATGGAACAGTAAAAGCGTATTATTTTACTGTAAAATTTCGATATACTTTGTACTTTAATCAATGAACGTTTTCACTGAGCATTCTTAATAAGTTATGTATCTTTTTCCGTGAATAGTTCTAAGTCCAACCCAGCATTTCTTTTCTAATCATGAAATTCTTAGTGTCGGCCATATGGTGAGATATATCTTCCACGTTTTAAGGAAACTTATGGCCCTTAAAATTTTAGTTTAATCTTTTTCAAAATAAATAACCCCTCGATTGCTTTAAGTTAGATATGTGCTCCTGGTGTGGTAGGCTAAGTCAAAACGCGCTGTCCTTAATTACTCCTTTGCTTTCGTGTCCCAGGTAATAGTCTGGTCAGGATTTTTCCTTATGTATTATGGGACGTGTTGAGACTTCAATTGAAAGGAAAAATAACACGAAACGTGCATACTTGTATAAATGTCATTTATTATCTTCGCTCAGTACTATTCTGTTATTAAGACAACTGATTGTATATATACGACCAAGTGAAGCTCAAACTCAGGAATATTGCCAGTGAAGGGACTAAATCACGAAATCGACCCTGAGTAATTATAACAGTTTTAATTTCTTATCAAACTTCCCTGGAAATACGCGTTAATTGCATCATAATTTGATTGTATTCCTTGAACGGAGTTAGTTTCTCTTTAATTACACGTCCATAGCTTTTGTGCTGCGGCGATTTTGACACGATTCCACGTTTTCCAAGTCTCCAATTGATAGAAGTTTTGTTCGGTCTGCTGACATTCACCGCGCGCATTGCTAATTGGTTCGGGGTAAACACTGAAATCACGAAATGAAAAGCTACATTCACCTAAGGTCTACCCCGAAAGTTTTAATACAGACCAGGCAATACCCGTTTTGTTTTATTCGGATTGTTGAAACTTCCTTCCAAATCGCCACCTACTTTTATCCCGTAGGTGCATGAGGTTTTAAACGAGTTCATGTTGTTAAAAAAATCGCTTTCGTGCAACTGAGTTAAACGTGACGGTAGCTTAAAGATATAGGCGTGTCCAAAAAAAAAAAAAAAAACTTCAACGGGTCTATGACAAACTAATTCGCTGTAATGGAATGGTGGCCTTTTACCTTAGAAATCAAATGCAATTTCTCGATCATTGAGGACTAGGTAGAAATTTAGCGGGGTAACCAAAGCTATGACCTTTTCACGCTCAACTGTTCGCCACGACCGCAATTATGATTTTGTATTCATTTCGAACTTTCCAAAGTGTCAACAACACGTACGAGGCACTCACTTCACCAAAATAACCCCCTGTATGGAGAAAAACAACAGCTACTACGTGCTCGCTAAAGCCCGAAAATACCCGCGATCATTGAACATTCTTGCACTTGAAATCCTTGATTTATTTTATCAATTAAACTTACCTGAAGTCAACGTGAACCTTTAGACTCGATAGAAGACGAGAAGTCTTTTGCCTCGAGGCGAAAAATTGTAAGCATAGGTTAACCTTCGATTAAAAACTCGACCAGGGATGTTTTAATCGACAATGGCTGCAATATACTGATATTGAGCCATTTAAAAGTTACTTAAAATAGACGGAGAGGTTTACAAAGACTGTATAGGTTGTTAGATTGCTTTTCACTTGCAGAAGTCTATATCTCGTTTTTGCACTGAAGCTTTCAGAAATTGGTGCAGCATCCCGAGTCCCTATAGCCATCCACTCTATGTCTGTAAATATATATTTGTTTTGTTACTGAATTAACGTCTCTTGTACTGATCTCAATGTTTAAAAGGTCGGAGTTTAATTTCAACTTTTGTTATTTTAATATTAAGAAATCAACCAAACGACGGAACTTAGCTCATCGTTACGTTTTCGTAACCTTGGGTTGTACCGGATATGACGGGTAGCAGAAACACATCCGTGCTTCAAGTTTGGCGAAGGCAAAGCTTTGCTGAACTTACAGCTTTACACTACTTTAAATGTCGATAAGTAACAGTAAGGACATACATTTTTCAGTGATAACGTAAATATTTGGCTACAAAACTCCCATCAAATTCCATGAGATTTGTCAAGTTAAGGGTTCTTTAGGGCGACATATTCTGCAAACTTCTAATTAATTATTTTGGCCACGAGTTCTCACGGGCCAGAAGTCCGCTCTTGTAAAATAACTACAGCTCAAGATACATCTAATTTCAGTGATACTTACTGAAGTTACGAGCAAACCAGTCCTTTGGAGACACAACTATTATATATTGTTTATTTGTTTTAAGTCTAAAATTGGCGATTAAACTTTTTTTGAAAACTTTACATTTTTTACCTCAGTTCAGTTCTACTGATTACGCAATACCTCTGCAAGCCACTACCTAGTACATCTACTATTTTCACCAGTACTAACCTTTTGAGAACCCTGTTTCACTACTTGTTACACGGTTTGTATCTTCAAAAAGACTTGTATTTTGTTGCTTCATGGAAATAGATTATATAGCTTATGTCTTGGAAACAGGTTGTTATAAACTTCGCAGAATTGAAATTATTAAAGTGTGTACATGCTTTTTTGGTAAATAATAGTTGGACTTCACAGTGTACTCAATGTGTCCTCTTCTGTTTGGGCATGAAATGCACAAATCGTACCTCAAGGAATCTTAAACATAAGTAACGTCTTTTCACCTTATTGTTTCATGAAAAAACGCTTGGTATATTCACAGTTTGACACTTTGGAATTTCAGTTACAAGAATGCAAGCTATGAGTTCCCTACATAAAATGCGTGATGTGCAGAGCCTGAAATCCTGTCCACTTATCAGGGTCAATGATTTTGACCCCATTTGGAAGACTTAGCGAATAGGAAACTATATTCATCTTTGCTGTCGTCATTCGCCGCAAATTAATCAGCAGAAGAACCTTTTGTAAGAATCTCTAGCTATTTTTATCGCTACTTCAGCTCGTTTTAGAGTAATCTACCAACGCACAGCCATATATCTTATGGCTTAAACCGCAATTTAGGCGTGTGAACCAAAATAAATCAGCGATGAATTACAATCTCATTAGTTACCTTAAATCGTGCTGTCCATTCAAGTTAAGTCGATTCGCAAGTCATCCGTGTAAGTGGATTTGCTGACAGCTTTCACACAGCAACTTATGACAACAACTTCGAACACAAAGGAAATGGATTGTAGTGTCAAGATATCCGGAATCGCTGCATTTAGTTTAGTTTAGTTTCTTCTTGTAAGGTCTTCACAATGTAGATCTAAAGCATGCATCTTGTGTTAAGCTGCGAAAACTCGTCGGCTCTTGTGAAAAGGTTTTATAGCCATTCTCCGCCTTCGACTTTCAGCCTGACAATGGCTAATTTGTTGTATACACAAAATCCACTGGGTGCTTTTATTGTGAACTGCTGATTAAATTAACGAAAAATCCCTTTTGTTTTGGACAAACTGAAGAGTGCAGTTGACAGATTCGAGAAGAAACAAATCGTCTCACTAATACTGTAGACAGGGTGCGAATGTTGCGTGGAAACTCTGTTTAAATAAACCATTTCAAGCCTGGAGCGCAATGCATTTGCATCAGGCACGTTCACAGGAAAGAGAGAAATTGGAATTTATTCTTTTCCATTTCGTGCAGACACAAAAGTTGAAGTCGAACTATTGTTCTCTTTGCTGATAATGTCTTCTCTGGAGAGCATTTTCAACACCTTGCTTGTCAACCTGTCATCATTAATCATTCGACTAAGAGCGTTATGTAAATAAGGCTGTCTCTTTTTGCACCTTGTTTTGCTTATGGGGGCGCGATTTTCCATTACCTAAACCGACCAGTAAAAAGCGCGAAAACAAATCTCATTTCCATTTGCTACAATGAAAGCGTGTTGACGTGTGATAAATTTCGGAAGCCACGCAAACGTTATCTAATTTCTCTTTTAATTTCGTGACACCTGTTGTCAATGTTTACTGAACTCGGTCACGATGGAAACTGCTCTTTTCAGGCGGAGCTTTCTTTGATCGCTCAAAGGCTAGAGCCCAGCTAGGCCAACGCGATGCAAAAAACCGTGTTAAGAATGTAAGCCCTTGACTTTGAACCAAACAATGCCCGTTTTCATTCTTGCACTTTACAAATGGTGGACGCTGGCTGCATGACCGTCGTTGAACGGCCTAATTGTCAACGGCATAATAAAGCTCCACCCATTTTTGAACAGCGAATAATGCTTGGCTTTTCATAGTCTGCTTGAATGAATTCACAATATAATTAGATTTAGACTTCAAGAGTCAGCAAATTACAGATTAAAAGTGACTTCTCCCAAGAGGATAGTCATTAAGTATTAATTGAGCCTCCAAATGTACGTAACACAGGAAATACATAAATTCACGAAAACAATGGGCCCACTAAAAGACCGTGTCCACATCACTACGTAGGGGTATAAATACGCGCGCGGAAAGGAAATCTGTCAGTCAGATGCGTCGAGGATGAAAGCTTAAAACACCTCGCCTTAACGAGCAAGTGTTGAAATGAGTATCGACGGAGCCATGAGTACGTTTGGCCTGCCACCGTTCGACATTGGCCAAGACTTTAGTATTCCGCCTCATCTGCGCCACAACCCGGAAAATTTTAACCCTCGTTTTCCCAACGCGCGTTTTCACAACGGCATCTCGAACATTTTCAGAGCGGGGGATTTCGCGAGCAGAAGTGTCAGCGAGGATGGTGGCCGGCACATGAACATGAGCAATGGAATAGAAGGCATTTCCGAGATGGACGAGACCGAGCTGCCCATTTCTGCCGCAATGAATGAACATTATTTAACTTCAACGACGCTTGGTTGCACACAACAACAACACAGTGCTTTGCATTCTACGGTCCCTCCACTACAGTCCGCTAATTTTTTCTCCGACACTGTGACGTCCGAAGCGGACTCTTATCCAAAAGATATGCCGTTCCCGAGCCCCATGGATTTCAGTATAAAGAACGAGCCTGAGCCTCGATTTCACCTGAATCCAACTTCTGCTATCTCAAGCATATCGAGTGCGCTTCAACCGGCTAAACCAAACATTATGCGGTCGATTTATGGCCCCAACTTAAATCCTTCGTTCCCCGATCCAGCCGCCCAATCGATGTACACTTACATCCATCAAACACCGGTAAGTGACGAGTCAAAAGCACCGCAGTTTTACCGACCGTTTCCCGGCTTCCCGCCGTTTGATCCACCAGAGTCCATTCAAGATAATCACGGCTTTTCAAAGTCAGAAGACAGCAGAATATTTCCCCCGGTTCCCAGCAGCCACAGACCTCAAATTATCGAGCGACAAAAGAGCCAAGTTCCCAACCGAGCGGACGCCCACGACGTCGAAGATGTTGACGACGCTAACCGCTGTAAAAATACCGTTGAAGGCACCAAAACATCCGTGAGAAGACTAAAGAAATGGTACAAAGACAAGTATGGCAAATCTATTGACATGAACACAGTTACCCGTCAAATGGCCATGGAAATGTTGAAAGACTTCTTTCTCGAGATTCGCGACACACGGCCAGGCAAAGAAGGAAACGAATACGAACCTGTGACGCTCACCACATATAGAAATGGACTGAGAAGATATTTTCTCGAAAGAAAATGTCCTCCAGCCGTAGAGAATTTCGATTTGGCTGACAGAGAATTCGACGTGGTTAACTACGGGCTAGTGTCAAAGAGAAACGAGTTGAAGCGCAAAGGGAAAGGAAACCACCCTAACGTCGTGGAAAGCATCACTGAAGAGCAGTTAGAGAGAATGTGGGCTTCTGGAGCCATCGGAGTGCACGCACCGCGACCGTTGCTGCGTCTCCAGTGGTGGATTAACACAGTCAGCCATGGGATTAGAGGACGCATGGCCCACCACGACCTGAGCATCGATGACTTTCGCATTTCCCGCGGCCCCGACGGCAAGATCATCATCGACCACATGAAAGCTGGTTCGAACAAAAGGCCACGAGCGGACGACGAGAAAGACAACCCTAGAAGCAAAAAGAAGTGTAAGGCTCGAGTAGCGGCCACCGATGGAAGCGAACGAGACCCCGTGCGTGCATTCGAGGTGTACCTTCGCCACCGTCCACCTGGTATATCGTCGTTTTACCTCACCCCCAAGCACAAGCCTAAGGGAGATATCTGGTTCAACAAGGTACCAATGGGCAAGAATTCCATCGGCAGAATTATGAGAGAGATCAAGGCAATCGCAGGGATAGGATAACGCGGAACACTTTCACGGAATACAGTCTCGCTGGCTGAGAAAGAGACTTATTTAAGAGAAACATTACCTGCTGCTTTAAATGCAGCGCTAGGAACATTTCATCTGCAAAGAAAAGACCGTAACAAAGGTCGATAACCTCGCCACAAAGAATAGAGACTGGCAGAGAGATGGTTTCAAACCATTTACCGCAAATCGAAGAACTGATAGATTAGTAAGTAAACGAAACAAATGCTTCTGTTCGTTAAAAAGAAAAATCTTTAAAGTTTTATATTACGAAGATGTGAAAATGTTTTATGCTATTAAGAGTAAAAGAATTGGCTATTTGCAATATATATAAGGACGTTTTTGGTACATCATCGGGAAAAAGAATATTCAGTAATGTTTATGAAATGAAGGGGACTCAAACAGTTCTCATTGGTATTTCAACTTGTCTGCAAGCATTTAAAACATATAATATATAAATATATCTCAGTTGTAAACAGTTAATGCTTGCTTTAGTTTACTTTCTATCGCATTTGATCTTCATGAGAATTCTATGAAATATTATTTTGCCTTCTCAAAATACTACCACAGTGCCTGGCTTTGAAAAGCTGAGTAAATTAAGATTAGCAATGTCTTCTTGACGTCGTATCTGTACTGTATTCATCAAAGGTTTCATTTAGAAGCCACAGAAATTTTTTAATTGTAGTGAACACGATTGTCTTCGTGGCGTTCGTTCTACTCTAATTCACACTTAGAGAAGCCATGGAGGGCTTCTTCAGTGCACAGACGCCAACAGATCTAACTTTCTTTTTTAAAACAATACTTTATAAGAAAAAGAAAATATATATATAATATAAAAAGAAGTAATAAGAAAGAACTTTCAAAAGCCAACACGATTAGCTGTGAAAGAGGCGTTTCTTCACACGTATGTTTCATAAAACACCACAATCTACAAAAGAAATTTCAAAAGTTAAAAGATAAGAAAATGTACTAGCTTATAACGATTTATTGTAAGGAATATATTTTTGTCAAAATAAGCGAGGCGTGCTAAAATTTTGTTCATTTAGGTCGTTTCACATCGTCGCGGTGTGAACGGCGTCATGTTCATTAGCTGTAGTTCAAATTTTAGTTAGAATTAAATTCCATTGTACATAAATTTACAGTTGCTTTTGTCAGTTTGTATTAATTTTCTAAATGTGCTTGTGAGAGCTTTTTATTTGCCGTAAAAAGTACACCATGAACGGAAGAGAGGAGGAACAAATCGTAGAATTCAAATGTATATAGATAACAGTTCACCATTGTTTAATAAAGAGATGGGACGAGACTTAGCTTTGTTTTACTGATGCAAGATTATGGCTATCTCCGTTTGAATCAGTTTATTGTTTAGCTAAGTAAAGGCTGGTGAAAGGGCTCTAAACAAGATGAGACTATCTCAGAAGGGGATTAAGTAGCTTGCTTTCTGCCATCTCCCTGAGTCGTTTAGCAATTCTTGAAGCGTTTATTAAGAATGGTGTAACGCGACACAACATTTATAAACCCTTTGAAGAAACGAATTGGCTGTCTCAACATTTTTTGCAAGGAAATTTAGTTTGCCAAATTTTTATCTCACAAAGATTTAGTTTCATAATAGATAGGATTTTTTCTGCAATAAAATTTAGTTTGCGCAAATACAGTTTTGAATTGAAAATCTTACAAAGAAAATGGACTGATGTCTTTAAATTATATTTGGTTACTTCCTTCTTAAAAGTCTTCATCTCATTTTGGCTAAGGAATTTTACTTCTCGTGCATCCTGTGGGCGTTTACAAAACCATTTTTTTAAAGTTAGTTTACCCTCCAGGAACTATTGACAAACTGTAATGCCTATTTTAGGTTATGGTCTGCATGTTAATGGCCATCGGGTGTTCGTCGTTACAATAAGCTGATTTCCTTTCTTATAACTCCTAAAGGAGGTATAATTCTACAAAGGCAAGCAATGAGGCGCTTGATTGATCGGTGATTTATTGAACTGAATTAAGGCCAATTTTGAAGAGCTTTCGTGAGTTGCTATGATGTTGTTTTGACTGTTACGACAACCACACGGCAACAGTTTCGTGACTGCTAAATTGCCCTTCCGTCAAAAAAACTCCCTTTGACGCATGTCAAAAACAGCGTCTCGATAGCAAACGACCCGCGCAACAAAGCATACCGAAACAACTTCTGCCACTTAGACCAACGAAAATAGCACCAATATACGCTTGATTCCCGTGGTAAAATCCCAGGTCTTTTTCTTGAGGGACTGCGCGAATTTTCTCTCAAAGTAATTTGCGGTTGCCGTGTATGGGAACTGGCGGAGTAAGGGGTAAATTGTTTCAAGAGGGTGATTATCACTCCAGATTACGATAATAATGGCCAGCACAGGACCAATATAACGGTCGCACGGTTGACGTTTTTGTGGTCAGAGTTGCCGGCATCTCTTATAATTGCTTTCTCGAAACTCACTGTCGGTTACGTGACTTCACGGAATCGTAATAGTCAAGAGCCAGCTCGCACCTTTGTGAACCCCCGCCCATATCAGCACAATTAAACGACGGCAATGGAGAAAGGAATTCACTTACAAGAATAACAAACAAACTGAAATGCCTGGGCACAATCTGATAGGATTTTCGACTAGCTGAGAGGAGCACTATAATGAGGGATAAAGCTTTTAATAACAGGTTGCCTTATGATTTTCCCGCCCCTTGACGCGACAGCCCTTCTATGCAAAGATAATTCTAGTCGGCGTAGAAAACTCGAGATTCGGTGAAGGTCTGCTCTCTACTGCATAGAAAATGAGACCATGTCACCGAGATTGTTCTCTTAACCGATGCTCTCTTTCGTGATCACAGCATGTGATCGTGAGTCGAAGCTACAGACAATGCTTCTCCTAATGGGTCGTTAAAGCGTAGGGCAATAAGTTGCGGCGACACATCCACGCAATAAAAATCTCAACGTCCAATCAACGAATCTTGGCTGGACAAGATGTCTCGGTCCTCAGAAAAAGGACACAAAATGCAATACACAGGGCGCGGACTTTGGTTCTTTAACACTGTCTCCATAACAACCCTTGCGACAAAGATATTTCGGTGCCGAAACCAGTGGGTTTCATCTTGATAAAAGCAAAAAAGTCCTGCTTAGCTGAAACCACGTTTGATAAAAACAGTCTACGAGAAGGCAGAAATTTTACCACGGAAATTCTTGAACAACAAGACCAAACCCATTGTCCCTCGATAGCAGCCTATGCTACCTGTCATTTCTTATTGTTGTTTTCAGTAAAATTTCACAACTTAAATTGCGGCTTAGTGTTTATTTTAAAAAACCCGGTTCCTTTATATCTTTAGAACTCCACCATGGGAATTTACCGAAATGTTAATGAGTGTATAAATAGACCGTACTCCTATCAACCCTGTGAAGTGTACACTCACACCTAGGCGTCTCCCTTTCTCATTGCGCACGGCAGAGTATTTCTGGCTTGTTTTTCAATTTTTCTCCATAGTAATTTTAACATTCTTTTCAGACTTCCCCTGTCGAGGCTATCTTTTCATTTATTAGTAGACTGATGAGCTATATAGACGTAAGTTGAAAATCAAGTAGCTATAATGTGACAGATCGCGGTCACGTTTAATTCACTTACACCATGTTTATACATGCTATATGTGTTTACAAATGTGTATCTCTGACTTCCTCTTATATTTAGCGCTTTACGGTCATCTGTGTAAGCCAGTATAGAAACTTTGAGGTTTACAATCTTCAGGGATTGTGCTATATGTTCTGTTTGTGAATGTGTATGGCTGTGCCTTCACCTAATATTCAAGGCCTTGTTTCTGCTGGTTAGCCACTATAAGACTTTGCATTTACAATCTTCAGAGAATCTATTGACGTAAGTCGCCGGATAATGGTTCTCCAACTACACCGAGACCCTAAAGAAGTCACTTTAAGCTTGTTAAATACGACTAAGGTTGTTTGATTTTGATAACTACTGTATCCCGAGTAATTACCCCTGTTGCCCTAGCATTACTAATATCAAGACCTAACAGAACCGTCTGGTACCTTTGTCGTCTGATGTATCGCTCTCTCTTACAACATTGATTCTCTAGTTTTCTGGTGTGTGTTTGAAGAGCGACAATATTTCTCTTCAGCAGAATCTTCTGGCGAAGTGACGGAATGAATGAGTTAGTAATATTGTTAATGTGTTGGCGACATTTTTCGGCAGCGCTAAATATAGCTTGATCGTGCATAGAGGCTCGCCTCTTCGAGATTTTCGTCTGGGCTTTGAGATGCAGGTCAAATAATACACACGCAAGAGGTACTTATTAATGTTGAGATCGAGTCTAACAGACTCCGCAAAGAAAAGCAAACAGCAGAGCAAGATAAGATAAAAAAAAGAGATTGGGCTTTCTATACACGTTACCTAACTCCATATTATTCCATGTCTGTAACTCGGAAAGTTAAGCTCAGTTTTTTATATTGGAATATGCTGTGTGAGAGATAAGTCAATCGTGGTTAATCGCTGTATATTCCAAGTGAGCGTTATCTCCCATCAGGGAAAGAAACCGAAGCTTGCTAGGAAAAGGAGAAGAGTACAAGATTAACCTGCCATGTATTTCGCAATCACGTTGCTATGATACTTCAATACGTGCAACGAGATATTCTGAATGCCAAAAGCATTTAATGCAATAGCCATCTTCCTCTATTTTTGTGTTTTTAAAGTTTCAGTGTTACTGTCCTCAAGCGATTTCATTAATCTCCTGGTTACTGTATTTGCATGTACCGCGTTTTTTTCTACAGTACCAGATGCAAAAGTTATTCGTATACAACTGAAATGTACTTTCAATAGCTATTTCTTTTGTTCCAGTTCTTAGGTTTGATATTGGTATCATTTAAATGATTGAATTTCACAAATTGGCTGAATATAAAAAGACCACTTTTAAGTCGAGCCTCGAAATTCTATCGCAAATATAAGTAATCCCGTTTGTTGGGAATCCACACTAAATGCAACAACGCCAGTGAGTCTTTACTTGAGGTGAGAATTAACCTAGGCCTCCATTACGTTCGAAACCGAGCCATTCAGCGGTCTTGTCTTGGAATACCCCGAGTCTTAGACTGTAAGAGAGATGAACGTTTTACTGGTAGTATCATGTACCATGATGATGTTGAATTAATCAAAGTGCGACCATTTTATCTCACCTCACGCCAAATTAACTCTCGATAAGCAGGGAGCTTCCTTGAAGGATATCAAGTGAATCATCTCCCTTCTGAGGGTTCATTAGTATTCCTGCAGGTTGGTTTGAGCAATTTGCTAATGGCTAGTTGTAAGTTTTTGTAAAAAAAAAAAACTACTTTGTATCATATTAAGCTCAAGCCTGTTTAACAACTTGTGTACTGCCCACAAACGACACTACATGTATATGGCTTGGTGTACGTCAAGCTGTTATGCAATAATATGTATTTCTTTGTGCTTTAAACGAGGAAAATAAGTCGGCATCCACGCCACAATATCAAATACACAAAGTATTTAACTCGCTACTGCTCGATTATTTTCGTCATGCTTAACGTTCTTCTTATGTTGTGCGATAGTTCCAGCGTTTCACTATAAATTGTTTTTAGCTATATGTGCCTTGCCTTTTGTCCGTTCTAGTGTCCACACATGCATATCCGGTATGAAATATAATAAAGTGGAGTGTTTATTGTGGATTGTAAAATGAGTGCAACGGCGAGCAATACTGTTGTACATATTGCCAGTTGTCGATCTAACTAAGCAACGGTTTCATTTTGTTAGACCTACTGAAGCATGCATGAAGGTTTATGGACGGCTGGGTGATAGAGTATTTCATTGTTTTCTCAATACCTTTTTTGTTGACTGGATCAGACGAAGATCGTCTCTTGCTGCGACGTTATCTAGGTGCTACTGCGTTTAGTAAATTTTCTATTGTTTATGTGAACAGTGTTTTATAATTGTAAGCGCGCAGTTCTACCCACCTTTTCACACCCTGTCGCACTCACTCACTCACTCACTCATTTCGACCTGCGGAATTTTGTTATCGCTTTAATTGTTTGATTACCAGACTCGCTTGCCCTCTGCCACTTATTGCATGGTTTAGGAACATGTAAATCTTCTGGGAAAGAGCGATTTTATTACAGCTTGTTGGCTTAAATGTTCGAGTGGCTAAGCTGGTATAATTTAGTAGAGAAATGGTTGTCATCAGCTCATTCGCACTTTGCACCATGGAACTTCCGGTAGTGGAGTGGACCCTCGCCGATACAATCATTTAACAATGCGTGGTCGGGCTTTGTTTACCTTTCGTTCG